AAAAGCTGACTCCGAGTATTTATACGAAACACACTGTGACCGTGACATGGGAGTTAGGAGGGACATACGCAGCACATTTGTTCCCCTGGCGCACCTTGATACACGTGTAATATAGAGTTTACATCTTTGACGAGTTACATTACATCACTAACACGACAAACGTGACTTATTGCATCAGTGCACAGCTTGGATCGCCATGCAGCTCAGATAAACCACAAGATATTAAAACAAAAACGATTTGAAAACTTTTATTTCTAGGGAATACTATAACCCTAAATTAATTCCATCGTGTGAAGCTCACGGGGATATTTGAGTATGGAGACTTGGCGAATTTAATGTACGACAGATCAACATCTTTCAGAGCTTGAACACAGATTGATTCATACCTGAAATTACAGAAGCACTGTTTAAAACGTTCATTTGAGGGAAACCTTTCCACTGTGAGCAGCATTGTCGTAATAACGTAGAACAAACCACAACCTCTTTCACTGCCGTGGTCGCCATGTTCATATCACGACATCAATCTGTTGTGTAACAGTCATGTAGTGTATAGAGTTCGCGTGCGTAAGTAGACCCAGTCTTCCTCAGCGAGTGAGGCTGGACGCCATTTTGGTTTCCTCAAAGGATTTGAGAGAGGACTTTTGAGATATTTTGCAAGCCATGTGGTTAACTAGAATCTTATGCAAGCAACATATACCTGGAAGGATTTATGGCGGGTAATTATACTTTCATTAACGTGTTTGTTCGGAGAATACAACTCTAATCAATTATCTTCTGCTCTCTGAAAACTGTAGACCATCAATGATTGTGATCAAACTTAATTAATTTTCTGAGTCATCCATCAGCAAGGAAGGGATAAGGGCCTATTTGAAAAATTTGATCAAGGAATAACACACAAAAATGATTTGGAAAATGGTTTTGTGATTGTGCAGTACTTTGTTGTTAAGACGCAGCAAGATGATATGATCGAAAATGTTAGCATTGTACATGTGCACTATAGATGGCGATTGCGGTGGCAGTGGTGGTGGTGGGGGGGTTGGTTGGGGGTGGTAGGGATATGGAAAGCAGTACATTTAAGAACCTGTGATATTGTTTTGGGAGTTTTTGGAAATTGTTAACAATCAGTTCATTTTGAAAAGTAATGTTGCAAGAATGGAGTGACTAATTCTGGACTTTTGGTCTTTTTGCTTGTGGTATGCACAATTTAAAGTGGTTCTGTATGTGCAAGGTTTTTTCAAGCCCTGATACTCTCTGTGGAGTAAGTGACAGCTATCATTGAATGGAAGCCATCATGAGGTCATGCAGAGCTTGACAGCTAATTCTTACAAGTCTGTCATGGAAAATTATTAGCAGTGATGTAATTGGCTGTCAGACTCTAGCACAATCCAAAGCTACAAAAAAACTACTGAGTATTACAGGCAGAAAAACTAGCCAATCACTTTTGGCAAACTAGGCTAATGACATTGGATTGACAAGACTTCTATTTACAAGGTTTTTTAAAACATCAGCTACCGTCTCTGAGAACAGTTCTTTACAGTATTACCTTCATTCTACAGTGTATATTGTCAACTGTTATAGCTGTACTTCCATAATAAACATATAACAGTTACCAAGGTACAGGTTATTAATTGCCTTTGCTTAAGTGCTATGCAAAGATTAATGGCAGTGGAAGATGTGAGGGTCTTTAAAGACATGGTGAAAGAATTAATGTTAATTTCCTCATTTTGTTAAATGTACTTTTCAGGAAGTACCGGCTTGTGAAAAGGGAAACACCAACCATCAGGCGAACTAAAGTGAAAAATGAATTGAGATTACAAAGAAATGAGAGTCTTCTGGCAGTTCCCTATTTGACACAGGTAGGTTTAAAAGTACCAAGTTTTAAATCACAAGTTTAAGTAGTCCTCAGAGTTGTCATTAAAAGCTGGTGTGTGGCTGCAAACCCATTGGCTGTCATGATACTTTAAGCTGGCTACTTCTTGATTTTTGATGAAAGACAGAAAATAAGTATTTTTGACAAGGTAACTTGTTATTCTCAAGTGAGTTGATAACATTTGGATAATAGATAGATTGTTACAACCTTTTTTAACCCTCTGAAATATTATATGTGTTTCCTTAGGTCTCCACATCATGACTGACAATGCCTTAACAAGCAATTTGCATAATACATTGTGTCTATTGCATGATGCATTATGAGAAGGCACTGTAGGAACTAAGAATTTGTAGAACATATTTCCATTTTTTTTTTCTAAATTTTGAAAAGGTTAAGAAAAATTATTGTTTTCTATTTTTCTATTTTCTGATATAGGCACAAGAATTTGAACATGCTTGGGAAAGGAAACAAGAAGAACAGAGGATGTTTAATGAAGCTTGGCAAAAACACAAAACCAAAAAACTGAAGAATGTGTATGCCTTTGGACCTCTAAGTCAAGGGAAAAAGGAAAACATTATGGAACACTTAAATGCTACAAGAACTAAACATGAATGATTAAGATTTTTAAACATCTGTCACTCTACATTCATAAAATGTCACCATTGCAAGTCAGTGGATACCATCAGAACTACCAGTACATGTACATGCAGACTTGACATTGGTGTCTATCAGTAATAATGCTTGGGTCAAAAATAGTGAAGGAAGCATTGCATTCTACTTAGGATTTCACATAGTCATAGGAAAAGCATGGCACAAGTACTATATTACAATTTAAAATTTTAGCAATGTTAATTTTGTAAATTTTCAAAGTTTATAATTGTAGAATTCACATGATGTAAGTGGTGAGTTTTACACACAACTTTAAGCAAAAATTTACCTTTTCACTCCCAAGATCTGATTGTTAATTCTCCCCTCCAGCTGCTACTCATTTCCTTGTAAATTGGTTATAAGAATGTGGTGTAAGATCAAGTTGACAACTTTCACCTGATAAGTTTGAGTATTCTCCTGACCTGTTTGCTGGATAATGTATGGATATTATATGGAGAAGTTACATCAATGGTAATCACTTTTGGGAGTAAAGGGGTTAAGTCATGCACTCTCAGGCTCACTCACTTAGGAGATAGGGCTCACTCACTGACATTATGGCAAAAAGTCAGAAAAGGGGATATTAATCCTTAAAGCTTGAATTTATGTTTTGAATAGCATCATTGTTTGGTTGGATTATGTTTGAAGGAATTTTAATGTTAATGGATATTGTGGTCAATTAACTCAAGAACAAAAATTCCTTCATTAGTCCAGCGTAAACTTTTAGAGGGCATTGTGTAATGACTTTGTTTTAGGTGCCAAATACACTCAGCCACCATAAGTTGGTGAACTAAATATGTTCCCAGAATTTAATGTGATGAGCTCTGGTTAAAGCCAGTGCCAAGGAAACTTTGTTTGCACATTAACAGAGAACATGCGTCAAAGAAACTTTTGGAATTAAATGTCTTGGTGTAAAAATTTGTTTATTTACCTACCTTGGTTGTTTATCTTAAAAGCTTTCAAAAGTCAATGGCAGTGAGGGGAACTAAACCAAAAGTTTAGGTTACCTTAGAGGAATGGTTAGACACTGATGATTGGCTCAGAAACAATTTTGAACAATAAATTGGCAGCAGGCATCGTCACTTCTTGTGAGAAACAATATTTTCTAATGTGACCTTGGCCAGTGTTGAATATTCAACAATAGTATCAGCCCATGTTTATCTTTTACTATTCAAAGTGAGTTCACTCCCTTTGTTGGAATATCATTAAAAGCAACCGTTCCAGCTACATGGCAATGCAAATAAATTGACCAAAGCTTTCATGTGAAATATCATAGGAACAAAAGTTCATGTTTAACTAAAATACCTTTCAAAGTTCATGAAAGTTGGAGAAAGAGAGAGGAGAGTCAGAACCACATGGAAATCTTGGATTTTAAGACATAAAAACTTGTGGTAGCCAATGAAATTCCAGGTTGTTTTGTCATCACCTGGAGAAAAGTAGCTCAATACACCAGTAAAACTTGACAAAAACCAGAAAATACCTACCGTATTTACTTGTGTATAAGTCGACCTTTTATGACCAAAAAATCAGCCCAATAAATCACCCTTGACTTGAGTCATAGACATGAGTCACACACAGACCTGACCCAAGCAATCCAAGAAATTAGCGTAACAATTGCCTGAAGTCCGTTAGGAAAACCAAGTTCACAAAAACAAGAAAGTGAGGGTCATTACGGAAAGTACGGGTAAAAATGCTAACATTTTTCACAGTGACATTTATAAATTGATTCTCGTAATTAAGTTTGCAATGCAAGAAATGTTGTTGTATTGAATATGCTTCCACATTCAGCATCTTCCCTTTTTTGGGGTACAGGTGTTGAAGTCAGCCCGGTACAACAAGAAAACAAAGCTGTGTATTTACCAGAGTTGTGTCCTGTCAACCTTGCCATACAGCTCAGAGTGTTGGTGAATTACGGAGGCTAAACTTAAAAGGTTGTTAGTTTTCCACAGGACATGTCTCTGAAGGATCTCTTGTATATTTTGGCCAAGAACCATCTCCAATCAAGAGCTAATGGAGCAGTGCCAACTTGAAGATACGAAGAACAGACTCATAAAACGACAATGGAGATGGATCTGGCATGTCCTTGAAGAGAACCTGATAGTATTGCAAGAGTGGCCATCCACTGGACATCAGAGAGAAAGAGAAAGAGAGGCCGACCTTAAACATCTTGGCAGCGATCAGTCAAAGAGAAGATGAAGCCATACACCAGATGTGGGGGTCAATACAGGAGCAGGTTGAGGAAGGGGTGCATGGGTAGTAATTAAGTGAGTAACTGAATAGATAATGTAAAATGGCTACCATAAAAAGATTCTAAAGCTAATGTTTCGAGCATTAGCCTAACACTCAAAATGTTAGCTTTGGAAATTCTTTAATGGTGGCTTTTTTACATTATCGGCTCAGTTAAGAAAACCAAATTATCTTGTAATGTTCTTGTATATAACAGCACCAACGCCTGAGAAACTTGAAGTCATTTTATCTACTGAAATGGCTTTAATTAGAATTTAAAGATCTGTGGACTAGTTTACTCTTCTAAAGGTAACAGAACATTGCAACAAAAACATAACTGCAATGCACTTACAACAATTTCAGATAACTTATCTACTAAACTTAATACGTACAAATATATATATTGTCCACTGTCATCTACAAAATCAGTGTATAAATAAATCATAGAATATTTCCTTTTTAGGCTATACAGTAATGTTGATTCAATACATAATTCAAACTTAAGCATATAGAAGCAAGTTAAAAATGTTTGCAAGATCTGGCTTTGTTTACAGGTAGGTTTATTGAAAACAGAACAAATAAACTAAAAAACCCTGCAGAAAGAAAGAAAATGCAAATGTTCTACAAAATTTCTCTACAGTCATTGAGTGCCTTTAAAGCCAGTATTTTCCCAGCAGGGAACAGTGCTAATTACTTCCTAATCCTGTTATTCCTTCTCAAATCAGTGTTTGTCAAATATTGCAGTACCAATCCACATGAGTGTTGTAAACAGAGACAACAAGAAAATAATTTTTCCGGTGTTCTGTGCTAGAAAAGCGCCTCCCATCTCCCCTAGTATTTGTAAAGTGCCCAGTCTTGATCATAACCTAGGATGTTGTTATTTTCACTCTCAGGAGGTACTGAGTAAGACGCAAGATGCGGTTTATAATGATGTTGACACTACTTTTGATTTTCCATACACCATCATAACCGGAGGAAGGTTATCTGTAACAAAATAAGTTTAAAACAGTTAGTCAAGCGCTAATTGTAACTGTGTAATGAATATTACCTGTAAATTAAGTAACTGTCTGTTACAACAATTGAGGTACTACGACTTCGGCAACAGACAAATGTACGCCTTAAGGACCTATTTAACACCGAATGGCCAAGGGATCACAGAATTTTCATCAATGAATCGCAAGAAAAGGGCAAAGAAAATAATATGTCACTGCACAGCAGTGTGTCTAATAGTCATCTGTACCCTTGGTAGTTTTTTTTTCTTTATTGCTCAGCAGCATTAAACTAAACCCTAAGCCAAATTAGATTTCAGTGTTACCTGACAGCACAGTTATGTCTTGAATAAATTGCTGAGCCATGTTTTCCTCGTTAGGAGGATGGGGAAGACCAGTAAATACAACGACTGGAAGAAAGGCAACATTAATAACATTCATGATGAATCTACACTCTTCAACTGTGTCAAAACTATGAGTACACAAACACATTCGCTAAATGTGACGGCAATTATATGCAAAGTCTCTAACTGAAGCCTCCCGCATCCTTACAAATGCTCTTTGCGAATATTTCATGATAACTGATACACACATTTACACCTCAAATTCTTAATAAACTTAAGTAACATTGCATTACCGGTAACTGCATCAGATATGAAACCTACGCGTAAAACTTACATGCGTCTGTTGAGTGAATTCTAATGAGCTGATTCACTGTTCGATACCAGTTGGTAGAGGGCTATATCGGGAAAAATAACTAGAGTCAGTCAGCTGGCATGAAAAAGTCACCTACCAACAGGCTTCTACTTTTCCCATTAATTACGTTATATGGAGAATGTTAACGTAGGATGTTTTGAAAACCAGCCGTCATGTCGATGAAAAATTACAGCGGGAAGATTGATCTTTTGGAAAAGCAAGGTAGATCGTATGAACTCACCGCTAGTCCATCAGCATTTCTTGTAAGAGAAAGAGATTCTTGTGTAACGTGAATCATCTAAGATATAAACAAAAGGAAGGTACGTATGTGATAAAAATGTCTTCTAATTGAAGATAACCCGTTTATGAAAGAAAATGACTATTTGGTAACCATTAACCAAACAAACTTAATCATGGCATCGTTGATGTTACAGAATATGGAGATCTCCAAGGGAAATGGCAGCTATTCAGACTAAATCATTTTTTGCCCTCTGAGCTCCCGAGAAAGTCCTTTGGTATCATTTTTTAAATTATAGCTTTCGCAGGAGAAAAGATCTGCAAAAAATTTAGAGGAATTTTATAAGAAGGCTAAGGGACAACCTTGTAATGAACTGAACCGATCAGCGACACAGTTACGTTCATCAGGAACTGCGAATAAAAATCAAAGAGAACAGAGATTTTTACCCGAACTTCTGCAGGAATTCTAAGTTCTTTGAGAAGATTTGTTAGAGTTCTGTGCTGTGTTTGGTGGTTTCCTTCATCATCTACACAAAAATAAAAAGAAACAGATTTGACAAGTTCCCACAGTTTTTACTATGCCTTGACAAACTTTAGCACTGGATCTGATAAAAATCTATGTTTTTCCGTTCGTTTGATTCATTTGAGTGAATGGATGGGTGCCATAATGCTATCCATAAAAGTAAGAGAAGAGTTTCGAGGGATGTTAGGGAAAGCACTGCAAGCAACGATTTCAATGAAGCGCCTTTCCATCGAGAATCGTAAGGCCAAAACAAAAGTAATCCCAACGGCCAATAAGAGCGAGGTATATTATCTCGAGGAACCTATAGGGAATGAGAGTGAAAACACGTAAACTACCTGAAAGGCGGGAAAACGCGTGTGAACGAGCCCTGATTGGTTGCATTTGACTGGTTGAGGGGTTGGCGCAACTTTCTAGGCCAATCACTCAGCAAAGTAAAACAAAACCAAACCGGGTTTTTTCGGCTCTAATCGTTAAATTTCTCTTAATGGGACTGGGTTATATTACGTCTAGTGGAGACCATACCATGTTATAATTGTACATTTACCTTCAGTCTCCACGATCTGCATGACTCTAAGTTTGGACCGATTTTCCCAGAATGGTACCATATGAAGAACACAACTCAACTGGAGCGTTAGGAGGAACGTGAAATCATATGGACCTAGAACCAACCCTGCTTAAAGACAAAAAAAATCAACTGCTTGGTTATGTGGACTCTCAACTGAGCTAGGATGCAAGATAACTGCAAGGGAATGGCCGCCATGTCCCGTAATTTTGGCAGAATAAAAGAGTACGGGAGAAGAATAAGATTATGACACCAGTTTTCGTGAAAGAAACGTTTCACGGACTATTCAAAAATACAATACACAAACATGAAGCGATGTAGTAAAGGTTTGAAATACCAGAGGATTTAGATGAAAGGGATCTTTGATGAACCTTGCAGCACCAAGGGGGGAGGGGTAGGGGGTAAGAACTGAAAAGAAACACACACTATTATCCAAACCTTATGTATGGCGTTAACATACTTTTAACCTTTGTAGACTTAAGACTTAACAACAGGGCCTCACCTTCTCCCACCACTGTCGTATTCATTGGCCACACATCTGAAAAAGGAAACGCTTAAATGAGTGCAGTATGACCAATGGAATAGAGAATTATCGAAAATGTATTACACGGAAGTATTTGCTACTGCTGCTGCTGCTGCTACTACTACGAAGAGTTTAGATGACGGTAATGGCAAAAGAGGGGGAGGGGAAGAGGGATTTACTTGTAAAATCATGGATAGGCTAATTTTGAGACCCTCCTCAATAGTTAAAAGGAGGTCCTTCCTCTGAATGGTTAGCGCATGTTAAACAACCTTTAAATACAACTTAAAACAGTTTTTAACACCTGATGGTAACAGAGTGGTATCACTTACAATTACCCAACATGATTCCAAAAACACGACTTTCTTATGTAACAAAAAACAAAACACCAATAAAAAAAATAAGCATGTTATACTCAACCAATGTATCCTTCCCTGCCGAGAGCGTTCTTGTCCAGTTGAGCAAAGCTGAAAAATTCACCCATAGTGATAAGAATATTCATTCTGTTGTCTTTGTTTAAAATTTAATTATACTAAGAATAGGCCAAAAGCAAACAGAGGAGCAAACATTTGAGCTCTGACATTTCCTCATAGATTAACTTTCACGACTCGACGAGGTTCTCGTCCATGCCTCTAAAACACTAGTTGGGAGCAATTACCAATTGAGCTAAGCAAAAAGTGAAACACACAGGAAAGTAATGAAAATGGCTTTTCGGTAAAGTGGCTCTAAGATACATAATATACTTCAGTATAACGTGACTTACTTTCTGGCTATGCAGACATTTTTGTCCATTAAAACCGCATCCTGTCAATGTAGGAAAAAAGAGGAAGAAGATTTGTATTGAATTGTTTTAGTATATAGATCAACTTAAACGTGAATGTTGCGAATACTTGAGATTGATATGATATGAAAGTAATTGAGATTGATATGGAAACTCGCACCACATTCTCAACCGATGAGATGCAAAATTAAAACCAATCTCGACTTTATCACTCCCGTTTTCCCATACTTCAGGTATTTTGCTTGTTCTCACCTCAAGATCTTATTGGCTTCTTGTGACATTTACCCGAGTTCTGATTGGCCGACGTGATTAATTCGGTTTTTATTTTGCGACCCCCAATCGAAAAGTACTCTAAGGCAACTGTGATTCCCCGGCCATCTGCTATCGTAAGCTGACTATTTTTGGTGGTTTTGAAAACAACGTGTTTCTGCCCTACATGCTTAAAAAATTGTCACTAAAGATTCTACAGCAACTGCCTACCTTTATAATTCCTACATAGTCCTTTAATGTCATTTTTTGATGTCCAGGCTGGGTGAAAGACACACATAGCAAAGTTTTAGAAGACAATAATATCGAGAGCGTCATTAATGCCAGTTGTCAGGATTATGCATTTTAACGTAAGGCTATGGTCATCTAAGTCAAAGACACTCCACTAACTTCGTGATTGCGACATAGACTTGACTACACTTTCTCGTTAACTTACGTGCGTTCGAAGTGGTGGGAGTTGTAACTGTACACTGCGGTAAATTTCATCTATGATAAAAATAGAAACAAAGAAATATAAAAAAAAAGACCATTCGAGAGAAGTTTAGAGGAACAAGTATGTCCGATCCCATTTCTTACCTTTCTTTTGCACCCTCATGAACGGAAGTCTTGGTTTCCTGAAGATTCCACGAGAAAAACTCTCCACAGGGAGCTCATGATCGTAAAACCCTGTTTACAAATGCAGGAAGGAAGGTGAATTTCGATTTTCTTTGATAGACTGTTTGTTGCGTTTTCTTTGTGGAAAGTGCACTGGCTTTCTGGCTTGCATATTGGATTACAGATCATTAGCAGTGCAAATACGAAGGTTAAAGAGCGAGCACCGACTAGTGTGGATGGATGAGTCTTTGCTGGCTCGCTTGGCACGCCATCTTGTTTTCTCGCGGAAACACCAGCCATACAGCACTATTAATAAAGGTCTGGTTGAGGACTACATTCACCCAGGAGCAAAATGGGTATTTGTTGGTATTCCTCAATTTTCTAGTTAGCTGGACAAAATGCAGAAGTGGGAGTTACATAAAATGGACTGGCATCTAGTCTAAAGGAAGAAACAACACTTTTTATTGAAAATGGAACAAGCTGCTGCTATGTGAGATAATTCTGGTCGGAAATACCTAAGGCAGTAAGGCCTTTTCCCTGTATTGTTGTTTCTTTCATTTTCATCTTCCTTCAAGTGTTGTCTCCAAAAAGGTTTTGTCAAAAGGTTTTCACAATAAAATAGCGTTACACCTTTAATTTTGATTTTACCTAAGATTAGAGTGTTTGGTTTCATTCCACCCAATCCAGACGCCTAAAACACACACAGAAAAACAGTATCACTCAGAAAGTTTTAAGATCAGTATAATCTGAATGTCAATAGCAAACTAAGGTTACTTTGGTTTTCCAATCGTCCGAAACCTTGCGCCGCACTTTTGTGTTTACCAATTGCGTCTTAGTCATAAGCATTTTTCAGCGCTATCGGCAGTTTACTTGTTTTTACTGTAGGTTCTCCTTTCCTCAGATTGGCCTTTGTGATTACTTTGGTTCTGCTCACTTTCAGACATTCAATCAAAATGCACTTTCCATGTGAAAGCTATAATTGGCTTAGAAAGCGAAAAATTTTCGGAGGAGTGAGAAACATCGCAAAGCAAATAATTCATTGCTAATGACATTGGGTTTTGAAATAAAAAAATTGCGTCATGACCTCTTGCAGTTTCTCTTTTTTTTCAAATTTAAATTCAACAAATAACATCTAAATAACTTTTGGGGCAAAAGAATGCAGACAAAGTAACTTGAATGTTTTTCACATGATTCACCACAAGGCTAAGACTCTGTCTAAAAGGAATTATTAATCAAACCTGATTAAAGTGATAATTTCTCACCATAAGCAAGTTTCGCGCACCAGCACGTATCGTTCGTGCAATAGTCAGCTCCACAAAAGCCTTTATTTCCGTACAATCAACGAAATTTAGCCAGGTTGTAAGTTCGCGCTTTTGTCCTCTCAATAACTGTGCACAGCAGAAAAATAGTAGTCAATCAATCGGTCAGTCAATCAATCGGTCAGTCAATCAATCGGTCAGTCAATCAATCGGTCAGTCAATCAATCGGTCAGTCAATCAATCAATCAATCAATCAACCAATCAGTCAGTCAAGCACTTGGTCAATTAATCAAGTGGTCAGTCATTCAGCGAGTCAGTCAATCAATAATGATAACCAACTAGCCAACTATTCACTTTGCAACTCAACTAATCAGTCAGAGTAAGTTAGTTTTACCATCTGAGTTGATGATGTAAATTGGCCACCGTAAAGAGTCTCGAAAGTTGATATATCAAACGTCAAACCTTTGTCAGAGCGAATGGCAATGGCTAATTCTCGAAATAATAGCTTAAAAAACTCTTAACGGTGGCCAATTCACATTACCAACTCAGTTTATGAAACCAAATGATCTTCAAGTAGCCCCCCCCCTCCCCAACCCACCGAACCAGCACTATAGTGTCTTTAAAAATGTATCCCCATTGGTTTGTCATTCTGTCGGTGATTCAGTCAACTCCATGACATACCAAGGGTGTCAAACAATGCTCACTACTGTTGAAAATTTGACTTCTCATTCCAGTGTACATTTAACAAATACTGCAGACAAAGAATTTCTTACCTGAGCATCAAATTCACCCTCTTGGACATGGCCAAGGATATAAAGACCGCCCTGGATATACAAAAGAAATTAATTATTTGTTTAACGAAACAGTGTTGTACACTTTTAATCAGTTTTGCAAAATAGTTCAATTAGAAGCAGTGGAAAGAGAGGTTACCATGAATTAAGAATCAGTGTACTTTCTACATCAATAATATAGACTTGGAGCTCATAAAAAGTTATGACTACACTGCAGCATTGGACAGACCCGAACTAACAAAAGTAAGAGCACTATTCGATTCAGTTATTCACTAGCAATTCCTTAGCTGTTCCCATTACAATTTGAGGTTTTTATTAAGGTTTCACAAAAAGTAAGTCTACACGATTTATTTCATACATACTGAACGCAACTGAGAAAATATATCGTTCGTCTAATCAATCAGAGATAAGAACTATTGTACTTCACGGTAGAGGGAAACGAATGGCTTACAATCTTTAAAATGTGTCGGTCAGTATGAAAATATCTCAGTATGTATGAAATAAACACATCATACCAAGAAAAGTGCTTGAACGATTTTTATTCACTTGTTGAGATGCATTAAAAAACTCATTCGCTCGCCGCGCTCACTCTTTCGTTTTCTTGATGCATCGCAACTCGTGCATAAAAATCGTTTACGTGCACTTTCCATGGAATAATCTCTATTTAAATCTTAAGTTGGAGTTTACAGGGCCTTGATTAAGCCATCACATAACCGCTAAAAGTCAAAACTCCAAACCAGCTGAACCATTCTAAATTGAAATGGCCATTCTTGATTGACTCAAGCACCGAACATTTCTTTACCTTCTTTATGTCATTAACAAAGTCTATCAAGGGGTAACCAGAGCGTGGATTGGACACCAATAACAGCACCTGACAGAGAAACAAAGCACAACTTCTTGTAATTTCTCGCTGCGTCATTTCATTTCAATTGAATTAAAAAGAATTTGGGGTCATGAGATAGTATACTTCAGCTGATAAGTACCTTTACTCTAGTCAAATTGTTGCTGGATTTGAGGAGAGATTTATTATAATTTTGAGTATCACTTCTGGGGGAAGTGGCATAGGTTTAATGAAACTTGCCAGTGTAGGCCCTGGTTGTTCGAAGGTTGTATAGCGCTATCCACTGGATGAATCTCTATCCGGTGGATCACGCCACACGTTTTGTTATCACTTATCCGTTGGATAGCATTATCCGCCCTTTATACAACTTGGCCCTGGACTAAAAAAGGCACGGAAAGATGTCGTTTGTCTCGTCACAAGCATGGGACAAAAAGAAAAAGAAAACAGCCCCCGACAAGGAATCAAACTCTGGACCTTCGCATTCTGCCCTCCTATGCTCTTCCCTGAGCTACTGATAACTCTACTGTGACCTCAGCTATTAGTTGCTTTTTATGCGACACACGTCCTGCCCACTGCTACGATCAGCAATCTATTGTTCACGTTAATTATCCTACTTCTTTACGGAAAACCTTATCCTAAATTTAAAAATTCTTGCGTATAAGTCCACTATTCAGGAACCTTAAAACATTCTGTATTTGGATTTTAAATTGGGGTTTTAAATACCTGAGGTCTCCAGAATTTCACGTGGTCTTTTCTTAGGTCTAATCGAAGGAGGTACTTTCTGACCTGCAGACACAAAACCCTTATTAACAACGAGCTTAATTGTACAAAATAAAATGCTTTTCTTATGCTGCTTAGGATCAAAATAATACCTGATGGTAGATCAAAGCTTGTGACACATCTCCCCAGGGGGTGGGAGGTGTACGAAGAGAAATCACCACAAACAAAATCACCATAAGCGCTGAAAACCAAAAAAATGATTAAAAACATGAAGTTTTGCATTTGGAGTTGACAATCAGACTAAGATTCAGACTATATACGCTAACAACCATTAATTGGTTGTTGCCTGTCTGAACTTTGCCTGCTGTGCGTAACCCGGGATTAACATGTAATAGTGTAGTTTGATCGTCCAGGTGAGTGTAGTCCTTCTCAGGACTACAATGATTAGGTATGTTCTGATTGGACTTTGGACGTTGTTTTCATGGTACGTGATGGAATATACGTTGTTGGCGTTGCGAGTAAAGGAGCGGAAAAACACGTTTTAACTTAAAAATTTTAAATGCGTACCCTTCCTATCCCAATAAATCTCGACCTTAATCGACAAGGCTCTCGCGAGGCTTCAAACCATTACATTTATCAAATGAGCCCAAAGTTTCTGGTTAATGTCATTCTTTGATCCATGACATCATTTACAAGAAAACAATACCCAAACGCTGTGATTGGTGCAGGATATTCAAATGCTATGATATGATTGGTGCGAGATACATACCCTTATGCGGCAATCTGATTAGTGCGAGATACGTACCCTAATGCCGCGATCTGATTGGTGCGAGCAACATACCACCATATACGCTAACATAGAGTTTTTTTATGAAAAAAAAAACAACTAAAAAATGGGGCCTTGGATGAGTTGTTTTTATCTCACCGCATCTGTCTCCACGAAGGGGTACAAATTTCAATATATCCTGATAAACGTTCAGCACATTGGTTATCTGTACTGAAGTATCGCTTGCATTTCATCCACGTTCACTTGATCAGCAACATTCCTAGATGCTTAACGGAGAATCTGAATGTGATGCATCCCTAAATGGAAACGGCCTCCCAAGTTGAATTATGTGCAGATTTAGCCTTTTATTGTATCTACATAAAAAAGAAATCATTTCGCAATAACCTACCAAATGCAAGAGCAGCCAATTTGTAATCGACCAGGAACATGATCACGAAGCAAAACACAGCACCAAGGAGAGCTTCGATAAATGAGAGAAAATTTATCAGAGATTAAATGCTAATAAAAATCCCATTTATCATCTAACTACCATGGAACACTTATTATAAGTTCCACAACCAAAAAGACAGGGTCAGGAATTTGCAATGTTTTTATTTCATGGGGGTACATAAACAAGGAGTGGTGTTAAAAGATATGATGTGAAAGGTGAAAGTGATATGATGCCCACTCCAAACCCCCCCCCCCCCCGGCATCCCAATCTGCTACCTTGCCTACTCTAGAAAAAACAAGACAACTGCACAACCTTCTGTTGAGGAAAGAAATGAATTCAAAACAAATCTCACCTGATTGCCATGAAAAATACTGAAATGTTGGTCTGTAACAAATCAAGGAGATGATTTCATCAAATGTCCATTATCTATAAGATGATTAGAATTTCACACAAATGTAATACTCACCTAAAGTTCGGTGCAGAAGCAACTTTGAGTACAAAGCAGGCCACGTTGGTGATGCCATATGACAGGAGGAAGAACATACTGACGAGCGAAGCTACTTTGTTGACGTTTCCAATAAAAAGAACAACCTACAGATTGACAAGAGACAAAATATATGATCAACATGCTGTGCTAATCTCTCCGTTTTGGGAAATGAGTGATGAAGCAAGTGCTTGAAAACCATACAAGTCAGACTGCTATTTCCCCGACAACTACATCCCCCATTTTTTTTTGCATCCCTCCCTTGCATTAACCACCTGGTCACCCTGTACCCCCCCCCCCCCCATCCCAATCTGCTACCTGTTCTCCAAAAGCACCAGCAGCCCACGTTTTCACCAGCTACTTGTATATGAAGCACCCAGATACTTGAACAACACAAAACAGCAAAAGATCTGTCCTGATCTGACACAAAAACTAACCTTTGCTTTCCTTATACAAAACTATAGATCAAAATTGGAAAGAAGACAAGGGGACTAATACCAGTGGCATAGATGCTCATGCCCTTGGAGAAATCCTTTGTTCACTGCCGTCTACATTTTCTTTGTATAAGCCTGGCTGCTAAAAAAATCTCTGTAGAACCCCGCCTTTAATAATATTTAATACTTATATTGCGCTTTTTCTATAAAAATACTCAAAAGCGCATTACAATATTATTAAAAACTAAATTAAAACCAGTAAAATTACTCGGTAAAATTACAATATTACAATATTAACATTACAATATTAAAAAAATAAAAATAATAAAAATAAAAAAAAATAAATAAATAAATAATCTAACTTAAAGCCTTTTTAAATAAATATGTTTTAACAGAGCGTTTAAAAGAGTCGATTGATGTTTCCTGTCTAATTGGCAGAGGAAGACTGTTCCATAAAAAGGGGGCAGCCATCGATAACGCGCGATCTCCCAAGGTCTTCTTCGTTCTTAGCTGAGGTCTTTCTAACAATATACCATTATTGTTACGGCGTAGTTGGTAACGTGAGACCGGTAAGACAGAGACAAGATCCTTAAGATAGCTAGGCAAGGAGGATCTTAAAATCTACGCGCAAGCGCACTGGTAGCCAGTGGAGTTCTCTTAGCAAAGGAGTAACGTGACAATACTTAGGTGCACAGTAAACCAATCGAGCACTGGCATTCATGATTCTTTGAAGTTTCTTAATTAGATACTCAGGAGCACCGTACAATAAACCATTACAGTAGTCAAGCCTGCTTGTGATGAACGCGTGAACAAGCCTCACGGTGGACTCACGAGACAAATACTTCCTAATGTGCTGGATATTGTACAAATAATAAAACGCGCTAGCACAAGTCTTAGTCACATGAGTCGACATGTCCAGATGAGAATCACTTTATCACTTTACAGTGCCTGAGCTTATTCAAAATAAAGTTTTACCTGAACAAAGAACCATGACATTAGAACAGCTCTTAGAGGTTCTCCATTTCTGCGGGTGACTTTGCTAAATGGACGTAGTATGACACCTTTTGGGTAAAATTATTACAGAGAATGTTCTCAATCAATTGTTAGAGACAATCAGTAAGAGAAAAATACATTTTGGGACTAGGTGCGCACATACAAACAAGGAGAGAGGAGGTAACAAGGGAGGAGGGGAGGTGTAGGGGAAGAAGTGTACGCATGTGAAATTCATCATCAGTGGCAAGGGAAAGAAAAAAACAAGAAGTAAAGATAAGATGGAGGGAGCAAGAAGCCATGAGTGAGTAGGGAAGAAAGGATAGATACATATTCACTTTCTATCCAGCAGCTTTGTTGCTCTAAGGAAGGGCTAATGCTTGAAAAGTCAGCTTTGAAATTCTTTACAGTGGTCAATTTCACATTATAAACATGATAACATTAAATCATCTAGCTTACCTAGTAAATCATCTTTAGCAATAGCTTGTAGAATTCTTGAGGCACCTAAGGAAACAACAATATATTTCTATCAATACTTGATATTAAGATTATTATCTACATGTTATTTTCTAGAAGGATAATACCGAGTAAGTATGTCATGGACTTCATGTGATCAAATGACAACATGCACTATGCACTAAGAAGCTTCAATGGACAATAAAAGATAAAATAAGGTTGACATGTTTAACATGCAACATGCACCAGCTTACCAACCTATAAGGCAGCTGAGAGCAGCTGAAAGAGTAGCAGCAAATGTTCCCATAGTGATCAACCATTCCACTTTGTTTATTTCCTGGGAATAAACAGCAGGATCAGGTCAAAGGCTTTGTATTGTGTCCATACTGTGACTGTCAACTACAAGGAGCAATCACCCATCATTCCACTATTGTTACTACTTCTATACACTACTGAGGTGACCATAATTGTCAGTGGGAAGCTAAAGCTATGGAAATTTTTCCTTTTCCCACAAGACAATAAACTCTTTAAATCCTAAGAGTGATTAGCATCTAATTTCTCCCTACAATATCTCTCCTGAATTGCACATTACAGTCATGAGCATAAAGGAAATAGTCAAGGAAGGAAACTTTTTCTTGGCAAACAAATTCTCCTTGTCAGCACCTTAGTAAATGTACGAAGAACAGTGTGGAGAAGATGCATCTTTATGCATAGAGTTACCTTAAGATAGTTGTAATTGTTTCGTAGTAAAGATCTGGGACACGTAGCACTCGTAAAAACCACTGCAATAAAAATCGTTTGCGGCAGTTACATACTCTATAACTGGTGGAGGGAAATATCTTTCATTGTTAATATTTGGCAATAACCATTTAATTCAAGAAATAACCATTTGATTCAAGAAAGCTAAATGCATTTTTCTTAATATTTGATGTTTAATGATTATTATTAATAGTAAATGCTCTGCTGCTAAATTTTATGTTCAGAAGTTGCATTTCATTATTGATAACATTACTGAATGAACTTTAAGATATTTGACTCACAACAATCCCTTATTTAACATATTACAGGACATCATCAACAATAACTTTCAGGGAAAAACCATAAGAACAACAACCCTATTCAAAAACTTCAAATGTGACTCACCTAGGAGCAAATATACAATAAATGTAAAAACACTTGCACCAAGGGTACCAAAGGGTATGGCATATCCAGGTTTTTTCAAATCTCCTGATATGTTAGCACCAGCTAAAAATTATAAGACATTTTTTTTCCATTATTGAAAAATGGCAGAAAACACAAAGCCTGAAGCACAATAGGGCTGTCGATTCTACTTGCCATGCAATTGTAGTGAATTTGATCTCTGGTGAAAGTCTTTGATATCAAACATCCCTGATATCAGCAATTTTTGCTGATATCAACATCATAGCACTAGGAAAACCTGGCATTTTTTGCCCACTGTTGTGATGGGCTTCTTAATGAGCATGAGCTTGCACAATTACTTTCCCTGCATATATACCACCTTGTATATGTCTTCAATTTGATTTATTAAAGAACTTCTCCCACATGCAAAAAAGTTGGTTGGCAAGTGAAAAACTGATTTGAGATCTTACTAGGTTTTCAATCTGAAGGTGTGAAATTTGAGCCACAGGAAATAAATTGATAGATATTTATGTGTGCAGAACAATCTGTCTGAAAAATGCTTAGTGAATTATTTACCCATGACTCCAGTAACCCCATTGAAGAGAACTCCAAACACCGTCAGAGAAGTCTGATGTTCCTCAGTTGTATAGTCTTTAGTGAAGTTAGGCTGCAAGAAAGAAATTACCAATATTAGGACTTCATTGACCCTCTAACTTATTTATATGATCAAAATTATCCTATCCAAGTGCCACAAATTCCAATGCAAATTAATTGAGGGAATTTGATTTTAAATCATGAAAACAGACTCCAAATGATAACTGCTGCTTTTCTCATCCTCTTTCTGCATTGAACCCGCATGTACATGAAAACAATACCAGATGTTGCCATGGAAACAAAACTTAACCTACGGTAACTTGTTCTTTGAATCATTACAGTTTTTTTCCTTAACCGTATGAAAAGTAAGTGCAAAGCTTTTCTCTGAGGCAAAACCATTGAGCATTTCTAATCAATCACTGCAAAATAATTGCTGGAGAAAGTTGAAACAGTATGATATACACAGTCAACCATAGATTAGTATACCTCTTGCCCTCCAAATCACATCTCTCATCTCTCTTTCCCTCTCTTCCTCCTAGTGACCCCTTCCTTACCATTTTCCTTCCTTCTCCCTCCCTCAAATGTTCCTTTTCATCTCTCTTTCCACCCTATCTCCTTCCTCCCTCTCTCCCTGCTTTACTCCCTCTCTGCCTCCTTCCCACCCCCTCCTATTCTACCTCCTTCCATTCCACCTCCCATATGCCCTCTCTCCCTCCCTCCTCCCTCTCCCCTTCCTTACTGCCTGTCTCCTTCTCTGACATATTTCCCTTTTCCCTCCCTTTCTACCTCCTTTCTTTCTTCCTCTATCATTCCTGCTCTCCCTCTCTCTTCCTTGACCCTCCCTCCTTCCTCTTTCCCTTCCTCTCTTACTCCCTCTCTCCCTGCCTCACTCACCTCTCCCTCCTTCCACCTATCCCCCCTTTCCTCCCTTCTTCCTCCCCTTCCTCCTTCCCCCTTCCTCTCCATCCCTTCCTTCCTTTCCCTCTTCATCACTCCCTCCTTTCTTATCTCCTTCCTACTTCCACTCCTTTTCTTGGAAACTTAGCCTCCTCAATTTGTGTTATTTTAGGATTAAAATATTATACTTTTCATTGAAATTGATATTGAGAAAAGGAATATTGCATAAACATACAATCCTGCTTTATATTCCTGAGCATAACCTTACCCAAAGATTTTTGTGTAAAGTTGTAGAATTCCAACCTGAGTATCTGTATGTAACATTCTGTAAAATTAACAGATAGAGTTAAAAAAAAATTGCTATCTTTTTTCCAAAAATCAATGACTATGTTAAATTTCATACACTGAAAAAGAAGTTGTATGACATTAAATAATCATGTCTTTTTTACTACTTTCGTGATAGTGAAGGAAAGAGCAATGCTCTTAACCCATGTTTAAACCATCCATAACCATACCTTAATATATGGTTCTATGACTTGTTTTGAATACAGCTATCATGTCAGTACAAAACTCTGTAATTATGAACTTTTAGGTTTTAGGCTAAGTAAACAAAGTTACATGTGGTTCACACATGGCTGTTCATTAGAAGATTTCTTTTCACTGATGATGAGCTCAACCAGAAGGTATGGAAACCCTTACCTCTATCAAACTTTTATTCATGACACTAATTGTCTAAAATGGGACACTACTGTCCATAATAGGACACTGTTCTTCAAAGTCAGGCACTAATATTCAAAAGTGCTCATTGGTGTTCAAAATTGGACAACTGTGTCTGAAATTGGACACTTGCATAAGTCCATGTAGGCTAAATATTCCACACTCTTCTACTAGTTGGCAACTGACACAAAGTTCTGGGGAATTTTCCATTTTGTTGTTTCATGTATTTAGCTGACAGTATCAATACAGAACATGGCATTGGTTGCCAAATGAAAACTACCTTGGGAGGGCTATGCCCTGAATGTACTCCTGGTAATATGCCACCTTTGTGCTTGACAATGAGAAAACTAACCTAGGATTAACAATAAACATGACGATAAGATGCTGCTTGATAATTAAAAAGAAAGTATATAATTCCTGTTAATTTACATGGCATTGCAATTGGTGTACTGTGTTTTCATAATTTCTAAAATTTAAAAAATTAAACATCAAACTCTTAATGCTTTGTGCTTCGAGATGCTGTCACCTTGGCGAATACAGTCAAAGTGCATAATAATATATATCAAACTGTTCATAGTTTTGTTTGCAAAGCAGCTTTTCAATTCTTAGTACAACATCAGGAAAAGTTCTGTCATGCTGCATTGTTAGCACAGTTTTTTTGGCTCTGATCAACAATTCCCTCACTTCACATAGCTGAACATTAAAAGAAAATCAGTTCAATTCTAATTAATTCTTCAATACATAATGCATGAACAGAATGTTGAAAATAACTTGCAATTGAAGATGAAACGGCAACCATAACAGCTAGGAAGATGATAAATGATGTCTTTGCAAACATTCCTGCAAAATGAATTACAAATAGATCATTACTGCAACAGTGCCTAATAAGTGAAAAAAAAAGGGGGGGGGGACAGGAGGAAGCAGAGCAAGGAGGAGGAGGGGGAGAAGGAAAAGGGGATGAAAGGAAAGAGTGGAAAGGAAGGGATGGATGCAAAAAGGAAGGAGGTAGTGGAAGGGAGATAGGAATAAAAGGATGAAGGAGGAAAGGAAGGAGAAGAGGGAAGGGAGGGAAAGAGGTGAAGGGGATGGGGAAAGGAGCAAGGGAGGGAATGAAAAAAATGAAAGGAAGAAGGCAGGGATGGAGGGAGAAAATGGGAAGACAGAGTGATGGCAAGGAAAAAGGGGGAGCGGATGGAGGGAGAAGGGGTGATGGAAGGGATAAGGGAAGGGAAGGGAGGGAGGGAGGGAAAAACAGAAAGAGGAAGGAAGAAGGAAGAGAAAGTGAAGGAGGGAGAGAGGGAGGAATGTAGGAAGAAATTGAGAAGAGAAATGTTAGCAAAGGAGAGGAGGGGAGGGAAAAAAAGAGGTAGGGAAAGGGAAAGGAAGGAAAGTGGAGGGAAGGGAGAGAAAAAAAGAACAAGGTAGGAAGGGAGGGAGGGATGGATGAAAAAAGTGGGATGGATGTGGGAAGGGAAAAAGAAAGGGAGGGAGAAGCAAGGGGAGAGGGAAAGAGGAAAGAACAGAAGGAGAAAAATAAGAAGGGAGGGCAAGGGAACGAAGGAAATGATAAATGATGCTCTTAAAACATAATAAAATATCATAAAGTAAGGGAATAAACCACTAATATTTTTGTCTTACCTGAACCAATCAGGCAAACTATTAGGCAAAAGAACAGGACTATTGATGCATACAAAAATGAATACCATGTCCCTGAACGGAAAACTAAATCAACAAATAGTAAAAGAATATTTCAATAGACAGACACTTTTAAACAACTTGTAATGACCTAAATTATAATCAATACTGGTTTTATTCAATAACATATCAATAAAATTATAAGCCACATAGAGGAAAATTAGACTAACTGCCTAAAAACCAGTTGTATGTCACATAATACTTACTGTTTGGAGATGATTCCTGAAAATTGTTCAGCAAGGCTTCTACAAAACCTGTTGAAAGAAAGTTCCTGATTGTAATCCACATTACTGTGGCAAAAGTATTTGATATTGGCTTTAGATAAAGTCACATTGAATACATTTTATTGCAAACTGCTCTCCACATCAATCTCTGCCATCCTCTGAGACATTTAGAACAATTATAAATATTCATTCAAGACAAAAAAGATTCTTCTTGCAAAAATTCATTCACAAGCTAAAACAGCTGCAAAACTTTGTCAGCTGCTCTGTGATTGTAAAACTGACTGTATTGTAAAACTGACTGTATACTCACCCAGGAGATAGAGTGCCGAGGCAAAGATATTAGCGAAGTAAAAAATAACTCCTATTGATCCCCCAAATTCTGGACCTAATGTACGACTAATCATGTCTGATTTGAGTTAAAAAAAGCTACATGACATTCTATGTAATAATTAATGAAACATTTGACATACACCACAGCGAAAATGTGTGATGTTTGATACATGTCCTAAGAATCATGACCATCATAATCATTCTTCATTTGCCTTTTAAACAATACAAAAAAAAAACTAATTGCAGTAATATGATTAAAATGCAATGACACCTCAAGAAACCACTGGATTTAAGGGAGAAGCCACCTCACTTACAACAAAATATAATCAGACGAGGATAAGTGCTGCAGATGTTTAGCTTGGCCAAATCAGTGATTACTAATAAGTAAAAATTTGCATTTTCTTTTAACACTAAGACTTGATGAAGAAGTGACTGAAACAAGAAAAGAGTTCCAAATTTTAGGACCTTGGCAGCTAATTATTAATATCATCATCCTGGTAACAGGAATATTTTTAAAATAAGTAGGAGGAACAAATCAGAAGGTCTGACTGGCTTCACCTAAAGCCCTGACAAAGTCTTTAACGCCCAGAAGTGATTAACATGTAACTTCTCCCTATTATATCTCTACATTATCCAGCAAACAGGTAATGAGAAAACTCCAACTCATCAGGTTGAAGTTGTTATCTTGATCTGATACCAAATTCTTGTAACTAATTTGCAAGGAAATGTATGTCAGCTAGAGGGTAGAATTAACAATCAGATCTTGGGAGTTCAAGGCTGAAGGTACTATGTTGCTAGTTGAGGAACTCACAGTATATTACCTCTTGCCAAACTGCATTGGAATTACCTGTAACAATTCCTATTATTCTTAAATCTTGGAAAAAAATCTAGCTCTACATTTAAAACAGGATACAGTAGGCTCCACCCTCCTTGACTGCACCATTTGTGGCAATAGCTGAGATGGACAGTATTGTTAAGCCTACTACAAAGTAAGCAATTACGAACATGCCAATGGACAATACTAAGCCAGCCTGAAAACAACAAAAATCATTATCCCTTTAACTCCCATGAGTGACCAAGACAGAATTTCTCCTTACAATATCATTACAGTATCAACCAGACAAGTGATAAGAATAAAGAAAAATATCAGTTAGGGGATAATTAGTTGATCCAATACTAAATTCTCTGACCTAACATTATAAGAATTGTATGGTTGACAGTAAAGAGAATGACAAATTTGATCTGGGAGTTAAAGGGTTATTCAAAACACATTTTTTTCCTTATTTAATCAACCATATTCAGTGATGAAAAAGTAGGCATTAACCTGGCCTTTGAACCCAAAGAGTGACAAGCATCTAATTTCTCCTTACAATATCACCCCTGAATCACACATTAAGGTAATGAGAATAAAGGAAATGATCACCAGCTAATATCCTTCTTGTCAGTACCTTATGAAATGTTTAGAACATTGTATGGAAAATATGTGTAGTGATGTTAGGGTGAGGCTTTGGAGAAGAAAGTCTCATTTCTAGAATCAGAGGTAATGACAAAGCTTTGTTCTTCTTTTCTCAATATCACTCTCAAACTGTTTCTAAGAATTCTCTAATTACTGACAACCTTAAATAAGAACTGTAAGAAATTAGGATCTTATTAACTGTACATTAACTCTGTCAGCTTATTAAAAAAAAAGGGAGAAACTTCACATACCTGACCAACAACAAAGCCAAGACGCAAAAATAAAATTACTGAAAACATGGATAGGGTGACTGGTACCACAACACCAAAAAAAGTTGACAATTTTTTTCTGTGCTCTGGCTCTGAAAACCAATAAGCAAATCAAAGAAAAAAAATTCATTTTACAGATTGAAATAAGACCTAGTGCAAGGGTATCTTGAGTGAAGATTCTCCAATTCAAACATTGCTATCAGATTGGGACAGTTATCTATTAAAATTAAGTGCAGTAATGTGCACTACTTGGGCAGTAGTGAAAATAAGGCCTGAAAAAAATTCAGGCCTGTACGGGATTTGAACCCATGACCTCTGTGATACTGGTGCAGTGCTCTACCAACTGAGCTAACAAGCCAACTGGGAGCTGGTCATGATGTTGGTTCCAAATAAACCCGTGAAGTGATGAATAAATATATGACTTTCATATATTCTTAACCAAAATTAAGAGCAGTTTAATTAGTATTCTATCATAATTACTTTTAATCATCCTCTTGTACTTTAATTGGTTATTACAAGTATTTCATTTATAATAAATAATAACCTCTTTATTTTTGAGAAATATTCATTAGGAGCAGGACACTAGGTTATTATCACTCTCTGGCTGCTAGGCATTATAAAATATTATGTGCACATTAATTACAGGGCTGTAAATGAAAAAAATTTATAGAGTGGTAATGATAAGTCCATATTACCACTTATGACAAGGAATAATACATTACCTTCTGCTGTCACAGACATATACTTCTGTGAACTTTGTTCTTCACCAATATTTCTCAATGGATTGGATAGCATCAGAGAGTAACCTCAATTATTACACAAGAAAAATGCCTTAATTTTCTGTTACTTTAATTCAGCTAATGAGCAAGCTCTCCAATAAATAGCTATCAGTAGCCTCAACCCATAGGCAAAACTTGTTTATTCAGCGTCCATGGAAGTGCTTGAACAAGCAGGCTTTTTCAAATAGGATTTTTCTCACAAGTATTCATTTCCATCACATTAATGAGGTTACTAAAAGTTTTCACTAACTGATGATGGTAATTGAATCCAAGCCAGGTGCATCTGAATTTTCAATATTGCACTTCCCTGTTCAAATCACTTCCCAATAGCATTTACACAATTAGCATGACAAATGATTGCTTTAGACACACAAAAAGTAAAAACCTCCCATGCTGAAGCGCTCCTTAACAAATATTGCAATTTAGATTGGTTATAAGCTACTCACTATCTTTTCCATGATGATGATGTAGTATATAAGGTTAATAGCTGAATTGTGTGGTTGTAAATAAATAAAACTAAAAATAAAAACATAAGCTTGTCTTGTTGTATTATTGTCTGTTAGAATTATGTTTTTTATTAGAATGATTTGATAACTGGTGTTTTATCTCAATTCCTATTACAAGGTAGTAAACTCAGGTTTCATCATCAAAAACCACCTTACAATAGCCATCTCTTGCTCATGATTTAATAATTAATTATACTTTCTTTTACAAGAATGGAAGAAGGGGAGAAAAACGTTATGCAGATATAGTACCAAGAATAGTATTCACTGTGTATGAGTATTTAATCAATAGATAGCTTTAATATTTGACCAATTGATGACTTAATTAGTAAACAACTGATTTTAATAATACCATTAATTAATCAAATAGGGGCAGGGAGGAGCTGCTGTGATGTATAGATTAGTATACTGGATCCTGACTTGCAAGGTACATGTTGAAGACTGAGCCAAGTGGGTTTTTTTCTTTTTTTGGGAAAGACATTTAATTATAAAACTGGCACTTTCTACCCAGGACTAAATAAATGGGTTCAGGTGAATTGTCAAGGAACCAGAACCAATGCAGAGGGTGAGGGGGGAGGGTTTACTTGAAATGAAATGGCATCCCACCAAACTACTCCATGGTAAAATGTTATGTGCTGAAGACCAGGATAAGCTCTGGGGTTCTGTATTGACTTAACTCAAGTGCAGACATCTACCTGTCATTAATCAACAGACTGATTGATTGAACTTACTGACTAATCAATTAGAAAACAGAAGTATTAATGGGTACTATCACAAAAGGAAGGGATCCTCTATGGAATAAAGGTGAAGGGGTGGAGCCAGACTTCTGACAAAAATGTTCTCAAAATATGTTGATGCAATGATTATCAGGCCTCATAAAAGAAGGATAATGCTCTCCCAAGGATAAATCACTATCCAGTCAATAAATGGTAGCAAAATGTACTGGGCTTTCCACCAGGTAGAGATTAACTAGTGAAAAGCAAATTATCCAACCTTTGAACAACATGATCCAGGATTATAATTTGCATGTGTTTGATGCATAAATAGCATACATGTACACCAGCACTGTGGGGGATTTCACAAAGTTTCATGCGATTATGACGATTGCAAGCTGATTAAGAGACTGCAAAGAGGTATGTAAGTGTTTCAAGTTCATATTTGCATCCTAAAAGTGTTTCAAGTGAAAAGTGAAACTGCTATATAAATTTCTCAGAGCAATTTTTTAAATTTAAAGGCAATAACTTTTTGAATATTTTAACTAAATGAATGAAATGCACAAATATCGGTGGCTCAGTGTTAGACACAAAGCTCGTTCTGTAACTAAAAAATGTATCAATTGCATACTAATGAAACAGAATTTGTTTGCTGCAGTATAAAACCTTGCTAAAGTGAAATTGATGAAAGCGAGCTGAACATAATCTCCACTCGAGCTGATAAACAACTTGTATTTATTATTTGAAGAAAAAACGTAATTCCTTACCTAAGTTACGATTTTAATAAGACTGCAGGTTTGCTGTGTCATTCTAATACTAGAATGCTACAATGCGGTTACGGAACATTCGCGTGCGCCTTCCGCTTACTTTTTTATATGAAACATGACATCATTTATAACAATAAACAAAGAATACCTTCTGTCATTCCTAAACTGCCCTCAGCCTCTTCTGAAACAGTTTCCCAAGACGACGCAGAGGGAAGCAAGGTATATCTTCCCATCAGCGGTCTCGGTGATCCAGAAAAAGTGGCCATTTTGCTGCTGAACAGGCTTCACCTTTTCAGAGGTCTGATGATTTCCGTCTGACCTCTGATTATCCTAACACGGTGGGAAATTGGGTCGAGTGTCTAGTGCCAGTCTACCGCTGGTTTCAAAATGGCGGCCAGACTCGAGGGAAGAGATGTTTGCGAAGTCAGGTAAATATTGGTTTGTTGAGTTCTGAAAATGTTACCCAGCGTTGTTCCAGGTTTTTAAAAGAGGACCTAAGTTACTCAAGACCTGTTAGGTCGATTTATTAGGGAAAAAATAGAACAGATCCTTGGATTTGCGTTTACCCCTTTTCAAGTTCTCTTTTTAGCCCTTCCCCGACCATGGAAATTCTGTGATACTTAAGATGTATATTTTGGAGCCTACAGAGTTATATATCTTAAATTGGATGTATTCAACCTTTGCTTGATAGAAATTGCCATGATAAGTTAGTATGATTCGAAGTCCATTGTGGTGACGCGTTGGTAGCAACAAGATAACACAATGATTCCTAAGATGAGAAGTCTGAGATGTCTTCATCTTCGCTGTTTCCGCCTGTTTCACCCACGGCATTATGCCAACGATCAATCGATCAAGCCTAAAGCTGTTGCATTTGACATGGGAGGGGTGGTGCTCCCCTCACCAGTCCCCCTGTTTCATCAGTTTGAAGATAACCATGGTCTCCAAAGAGGTTCCATTGCTGCAGCTATTAATGCTGGTGGTGAAAGAGGTAAAATGAAAACTATTATGGGTCATGAAGTTCTCAATAAATGATACAAGGGCAGATTTAGGGGTGAGGTGCATGGGGTGTGCACCCTGCTCCCTGATATAACCTGCAGCTTTCTAACATAACTTCATGGTTACACAACATTTGCTGTATTGTTTACTATGTATTTTCAACAGTTCCATTAATATTATTGTTTAGTTATTAGCCATCTTCTTTATCATGCACTTTAATTTTTTTTACATCCCCCTTTCTAAGAAAAATCTTGGATCTGCCCCTGTGATAGAATGTGCAAATGCCTTGTCTATTGCTGGTTAATCAATTAAGTATTCAGTCAATTTTGAGTTATGCAGTTGATTCAGATATTATATTAGTCAGTAGGTGGGTTTGTCATTAGGCCAGTTAGGGGAATTGATCAATCCATACATTGCCATTACTTGCCCAGTTAGTCATTACCCCTTAAACCTGCTACTAAGTTATTTTGCACATGAGGTCCATAATTCAAGTAGCAGCTGTTAGCCCTTTAACTCTGATCCAGAAATTTTCCTTGCAACAGCAATGTGATATCAAGGACACAAGTAATGAGAATAAAGAGAAATTTCAACTAGGGGATTATTTGTTGATCCAATACCAAATTTTCCAAATTATCATCATGAGAGTTGCATGGAAGACAGAAAGGAGAGCTACTAATGAGATCTTACAGATGAAAGGGTTAATCAGGTCAATTAGTTGGCTTAAGTTGGTTGGTTGCCCCTCTCCCTTTTTAATGGTTGACAAAAGTGGTTTTTGTAATCATTAACTTTGATCAAAATGAAACTTCTGATTATGATTAATGACATTGCTACTCTTTGTTATGAACAACATCTTAAAGCATTGGATCACAATGTAGCCTGGACATAACCTTTTACAGCTTTCAAAATATTACCTATATTCAGAAGAAGTTCATTTTATGACTGATGAAAGTACTTATTAAGCAATTCTGTATTATGAAACTTAAACTTTTCACGTTACTTGTCATTAATATGTCCGATTTAAAAAGTTTCACTCTTAGTTACTCTAATTTTATTGATTAATTGTGTCTTATTTTAGGTATCTGGGCACAGTTTGAATGTGGAACTCTTTCACCTGAAGAATTTTCAGACAAGTTTGGAGAATACCTGCAGTCAGTAACCAGCAAAAGTGTGAGCGTGAAAGATCTAATTGGTGGCATTCAAACAGCCATGGTAGAGCCCCATCCTGAAGTAATAACAGCTATTCAGTGTATAAGAGCAGAGGGCCTAAAGACTGCTTTGATTACAAACAATTGGTTGATGGACAATGGGAAGTCATTTTGTCCAGTAGATGGAAGACATTTTGATGTGGTAAGAAGCTCACTGGTTCAGGGGAACTCCCTAATTTTTAAGAAAGGCCTGTGGTACTCAGATTAACAAGATCATGAAAATGAGGAAATAAATGGGCTGTAAGGTCAGCTTTTATGGAGAGCCGATGAACAGGAATTGGCATGGTTTTGTTGTATCTTTTAGGAGTTCATGGAGATCCTGTAATTTTCTTGAGGATGATGAGAACCAAGTAGCATCAGACCTTTTTTTATACACTACAAAACGTGATTGGACAGGCAACTGACTGTACTAAAATTCCTTCCTCCACCTCTTATGCTCTAGCTTCATCCTAGAAGATGATTTTCTTACAAAATAAGCCTTCACTTCTTGTGTTTCCCTGGCTCCAATTCCATCATTTGTTCTTCCCCTTGCACCTCCCTTTTCTTGTCTTCCTCATCCCTCCACTGTTCTACCTCATGCTCAGGCACTTCTTTTCATTTTTTTTCTCCCTCTACTCCTGACCACTTTTTATTAATCTTCCTTCCTTTACACCTTTCTTCAACCCTCCATCCTTTTCCCTCCTCCTTTTTATTTTTATAATCCAATCTTCATTTCACTTTCCTATTCTCTACCCTTAATTCACCCCAGTTGCTTCATCTCCTTCCCTTTTCTTCGATCTTATCACTTCTCGTAACTACACCATTCACCAGTTTTTCCTCAGTCTTGCTTGGTCCTTCTCCTGTCATTCACCTTGACTTTAAGTTTCTCACGTCTCTCTCATATTTAAGCCCTTTCTTTCTCAATAATTAACTTCGCCCTTCTTCCTTCAATTGCAAGTTTTAACATGTGGATAATGATAAACTTTAAGGTTTTAGAGTCAGCATTGGAGGGTTCAAGAAAACCAGAGGAAAAATTTTACCACAAGTTGTTGGACAGGCTCAAGATGAAGCCGGAGGAGGTGGTGTTTTTAGATGATTTTGGCAAAAATTTGAAACCAGCACAGAAAATGGGATTTCAAACAATAAAGGTAAAAAGAAGGTGGCAAGGAATTAAAGAAAATTTTGGTGATATCAAGTGAGTCAATATAACCAAAGTTATCTTTTTATATTCCTCCCACTGATGCAGCACCACATTCTCTTTAGAAACTTACCCTCTTTAACCCTTTAATTCTCATAGGTGACCAAGAAAGAATTTCTCCTTACAATATCAATATAATATCAACCAGATAAGTGATGAGAATAAAGAAAAATATCAATTTGGGGATAATTAGTTGATCCAGTACAAAATTCTCTGAACTAACATGATAAAAATTGTATGGTTGACAGTAAGGGGAATTACTAATTTGATCTGGGAGTTAAAGGGTTAAGGAATTAAAGTGGTTTTGGTGATAAATAGATTACAATGAAGAAGGGAATGACAGAATTACACTGATGAAAAATGGCAAACTTTTGAAGTTAGTGGATACATGATGTACTAAGGCCATCAAGATTGATTTTAAAAACTATCAGTTACTTATTAAAGGTATTGGAATTTCTTTTCTTTTTATCAGCAAATATGCTAAGGCTGCCAACTGAAAATTAGCCTAACACGGTACAACTTCAAGCCAACTAAATGTTTTTTGTAATCAAATTTTTTTTTTTATCTTTCAAAAGGTTGATGACATAAGAAGTGCTTTGCATGAGCTGGAGATCATTCTTAGTTTTCCACTTAAAGGTAAACAGCCAGAATTATGAAAAGACACAAGATTGTGAAGTGAATCTCATGAATCTACAATAAACTGCTTTTTTTCTTGTACTTTTTTCTGTTCAGGTTTTGTTGCTGGGACCACAGCTGTGCGTAAAAGTCACCAGATTCCTGTGGAGTCCCTTGTTAGTTACCTGAATAATGAACTTGGCTTAAAGCAGGAAGGTGATCTCAAGCATTGGAAAAAAAAAAGACTTATTCTAGTGTGTGCTATTTGTCAGTGATCTAGGTTGTGAAGCTTACTTTAGTGTAAATGTGTAACATCTTTTTGGCCTTGGTGCTTTTGATTAAAGACCATTTAAGCCTGTTCATTCCCAATATTTTGATGGAAATTCTCCTTACTGTCTGCCTTACATTTCTTTTAAAATTCATTTTGAGAATTTGTTGTTGGATCAAATGGTAATCCCTCTCTTAATATTTTTTACTATCAAATTTTTAAGTCTGAATATTGCATTTCTAGTGTTCTGAGTGGTTTACTAATTAAACTCTGGTCATCAGCTCATGTTTCAAGTCACTGTATGTAAAAATGCATAACGCCAACTGCTGCAGAGTTGAAAAAGCCCCAAATATCCAAACATTCAGGACTTAATGACTTGTTATAAAACAACTATTCAAGATTTTGTGCATTTATGTGATTATGCCATTGTTGCTCCTGCAAATGAAAGGAAACTTACATAATTTGAACTCCTGTTTTAAATGTTTCAATTGAAACACAAGTTGAATAGAAATAACAGGACTTTAAATTTAAAGACTTTTCAGTCCTGTTGTAGGTTTTTCAATCTATCTTGTGGTTTATTTTAGGCCCCCCAATAATTCGTCAGTTTAAACATGGTCAGTCCAATCCCACTTACTATGTGGAATATGGAGGACAAAAGCTGGTGATCAGGAAAAAACCTGTGAGTGATGACTTATGGTCAAGTCTTGAATGTTCGGAAATCATTACTAGTGCCAGACCCAAATAAAGAAGTATTCATTTAAGAATCTATTGTACTTAACACATTTGCTGGCCACAAGTTCAGTTTTGTATTTTTGTAGCTACCTGTAATCTTTTCTGATTTATTTTTGTTCCTCTTTCAGCCTGGAAAGCTTCTTCCTTCTGCTCATGCCGTGGAAAGAGAATATAAGTTAGTTTATTCTCGTGATTTGCTATTTATTTTCACGTCCGGTCATTTACTCATGTGGTCTTGTTAGTTGTTAGACCATGAAACTTTTGACATAACAATAGGCAAGCACAATTTCTTGATAAAACCTTGCTTGAACAAGCACACGCAACAGAGAAAGAGAGAGAAAAAGTGAAAAAAATACCAGTCGCCTCTAATTAATAACCTGTTCCCGTGTAACACAAAAGAAATCTCATCTTTAAAATAAAAATCCTACACAATTTTCAATGCCATATGGTATAAAGCATAACATTATATCAACACTACAGGGTGATGAAAGCACTTGGATCTGCTGGTGTTCCTGTTCCAAAAACTCTAGCTTTGTGTGAAGATAGCAGGCAAGTTATCCTCTCTATTCTGTATGCTAGATATATTTCAAATTGCTCTGATCTGTTATGCTTCAAGTTCTACTAAGCCCCTGCCCCCTCTCCCCTCTTGCTTAGTTCAGACTTCATTTTTGTTTTCCTTGTGGAAAATCATATTTCTGTCAAAAGTGAAGATTGTGGGTCGTCTCTTCGGCTGTCTCTCGGTCGTATTTCGTTTGTATGAGGGAAGCCAGGTGTTTGACGGTCGTTTGTCTTCGGTTGTCTGTCGGTTATTGCTCGTTTGTTGGGCGTCTGTCAGTTATCAGTGACTTGTTGATCGTCTGTCCATCGTCTTACGGTTGTCTGTCCGTTGCCAGTCGCTTGTCTGTCGGGCGTCGTACGGTTGTCCGTCAATTGCCGGTCGGTCGATTGTAGCCGGCCGTTTGTCAACTGTTGCTGACCATTTCTCCGAGTACGTGTCGGTAATCTGTCGGCCGTCAATTGACCTACGGTCAGTTTAGTGGAGCTTTTCTTCAATTTTATTAACAAACAGTTATTCATTGCTTTCCCCTCCTTTACATGATAGCATAATTGGAACACCATTTTATGTCATGGAATATGCCCAAGGACGGTTATTCAAGGATCCATCTTTGCCTGGCATGTCAATGGAGGAGAGAAAAGTATGTAAATCATATATTTTTTGAGTTGTTTTTGAAAGTAATCAAAGAACCTAGGCCACATGATTGTTGGTCCTTAGAGAGTTGCCTTTAGGTAGAAGGAAACCTTGAAATATTGACTCGCACGGAAGAAAAATAAGTACGAAAGAGTCGAGAGGGAAACAATGTTTAGTAAGGATGAAGAAGATTACATATTCATGTAGATTAAGAAATGAAGGGTGGTCAATTTTAAGCTAGGTTATTCTGGTACAGCTCCTTTTTGAGCTTGGTTGTCCGCTTTGTAGCATCCGACTTAGTGTTGATAACTAGGGACTTCATTTTGGACTCAGGGCTCACGTCAATGGCTTTGCCTCAAACTTGCGCCAAATTGTTAATTTTCTTCAGGAGATTTACCACGCAATGAATGAAACTCTTTTCAAGATTCATGATGTTGACATTGATGCTGTTGGACTTGGAGACTTTGGTAAACGAGGTACGTTCATCCAGGCAGAACAGTTTACCAATTGAGAGTTGAAATGATCCGAAATAGCGTTGGTTTTCATTTACTGCACAGGGGCATTGGCCTGACAGTCGGATACAAAACTAAAACCAGTTTCAACCAAGTTTCAACTTTGTTACTCGCGTTTCCTCATGTTTGAAGCTCTATAACCGCCATCCGTCGAGCAGCTAGAGTTATCGCAATTTTTCCAACGCGTTTATTGGTTTTACTTCACGACAGCTGTTCGTCCGATGCTTCGTTCAAAAACTCGCACCTCTCTCTCGACCAATAAGCAAAGTGCGCTTTCCCGCGCTGTATTCTGAGTTCTCTTTGGTTCCTTGTGGAATTTAAGTTTTCTTTAATTGGCCGTCGATATTGCTTTGGTTTTGGATTTGCGACTCCAAAGCTGAGAAGTATCGTTATAATAGTGTATCATTTTCTAGGGCTGCCGCTGTGCTATCGAAGTGTACCCACAATTTGTGACCCTTTAAGTGGAAATTAAACTTCTCTTTTTGTCAGGAATGTTAGTTAGAAGTTCTCTCTCTTTACATAGGAAACTATATTCGACGTCAAACAGAGAGATGGGCCAAACAATACGAGGCCAGCAAGACACATGAAATACCCTCAATGGACAAACTTATTTCATGGCTATTGGAGAATGTACCAGAAAATGACACAACAACAGTTGTTCATGGAGACTTCAGGTTAGCATGAGAAATTCTTTGTGTTGTGCCCTTTAATGGCTGTTGAAATGAGAATCAAATCCATCTCAGATGCTTTAACGTTATTCCACGTGAGCTGACGTGAAGTCACAAAATGTGATGCGACGTGACGTAATGTGAAGTTACGTGACGTGACTTGGATCGAAGTAGTATGAAGTAACGTATCAGTTGTCCTGAACGGTTTGTTCTTAGTAGTCCTTTTGACATTTTGTCGCTTTCTTGCAGACTAGACAATTTGATTTTCGACGAAAAAAAGCCCGAAGTAATAGCAGTGCTAGACTGGGAACTGTCCACTCTTGGTGATCCACTGTCCGACTTGGCATACAACTGTCTGCCACATCACCTACCTCCAAATTTCCCAGCTTTGACAGGTGATAGCTGACTCGTAACTGTCTTTCACCAGCAAGCACGCAGTTTTCTTTGTTACAAGTAGTGGCTGAACTATATCTGTGTATTAATAAAAAGAATATTGAAAGATAGATTTTATGTCATGTCGTTATTTTTCTTGTAGGGGGGGGGGTGAGGGAGAGCCTACGGATGTTAAATTTTAACTGAGGATAGAACTGAACCACAGCACATTTGTGAACAAATATAAGTGTGGAAATGTTTAATTCTTTCAATCCTGAAGATCTTTCAGTTGCTTTAGTTTTCAGAGATTCGAACATGACAAACCTCTTTCTTATCCTTATCTGGTTGTTTGTTTGTTTGTTTATTAGGTTTTGCCGACCGTGATCCCAGTTCTCTTGGCATTCCAACCGACATTCAGTACATGCAGGAGTATTGTCAGCGAGCAGGCATTCCATCTGTCGAAAAATGGAACTTTTACATGGCTTTTTCGTTTTTTCGTGTGGCTGCCATTCTTCAAGGAGTCTACAAAAGGGCTCTTCAAGGTATTTCTAAATAACGTTTCGTAAAGTTTTCAAAATTAACACGCGTACTCAGAGTGAAAACCATAACTATGTCAGAGCTTTGAGTATTTATATTAACTCACACAGAATTTTCCTAGTAAATTAAAATAAGTTATAACTTGTGATAGATCATTAAATGAAAAATTGTGTTGAGATACTGTTTATTTCAGTTTCTGAGCAACTACTCACTTACCCCTCCCCCTCCAACCTGACGCTAACTCTGACTTGTTATCTGTCTACTGCTGTTGGGTTAGGGGTTAGGGGAGGGGTAGGTGCCCAGTAGTTTAAATACGGGCATTGATCCAAAATTAATCACCTGCTATTCTGCTGTATTCTAGCTTTCGCAAGCCAGAATTGCATGCCTCAAGTCTGACTTGGCTTAGATTACATTTTGCTTTAATTTTACATTATTGTACCTAGCCCATTATTTGTCTTAATGGCAGGTCAGGCCAGCTCGGAAAATGCCAAAGCTGTGGGTGCACTGGCTGAGTCGATGGCGAAGACCGGGTGGAAGTTAGCCTCTCAAGGCACTGGACCCAATGGTCATACTGATAGAGGGAAACTGGGAGGAACAAAGAGAATGTATTCTACTTCTGCTCATACAGGTTCTCCAGGTTTGTTAAGCGAACATGTTGCTACTGGATAACTGCTCAGTACTGTGCATTGCTGAATCCTTGCTAAGATTTTTTCGTTAATACACATGTGTTATCTGACCCCAGCAGTAGAAACTAGCAGAATAAAACTCTTCAAGTATGATCTCGGTATATTAGAAAAATTTCGAAAAATAACTGGATTTTTTCTCCAAGAATTTATGGTTCACAATCGGTTTCATCGCCCACCAGTTTCACAGGTTTTTACGGCAAACAACTTTAAATCATTGCTTCTAATCAGCTAACACTTTACACTCTAGGTTTGATTTTGAGGTACGAAGCAGTTTGCCTGCGATTCATTTAGTTAACTTTCTTTCCACTGTACAAATGCCAGGCCCGTTACCATCTGACCTGAAGTCCCTTCCGTCTCGCGTGCAAGACATGTATCAACAACTGACTGACTTCATGAGTGAGTACGTGTATCCGAACGAGGCTGAGCTCAGTAGGCACCAAGCCTCTGAAGATTGTTGGACGCCTCATCCGCTGGTAGAGGAAATTAAGGTAGAAGTGAGCTCTTTTAGTTAAATATCATACTTGGGCGTTAAAAGGCATGAACGATGTAGTAAGAAGGGAAAATGGAATCGATTTATTCCTCGTGATAATGAAAACAAATAGGTAATCGTTTGCAACATCTCTCTCAGCATATGTCCACATTTTTATCAGGTTGTCCGACATTCTTAGGAAAAACGCCGTCATAAAATTTAAATCATGTAATAACAACAACAGCAGCAACAACAACGACAAACTTTATTTACCCATAACATATTGGTAGAGTGCTCTATACAAATTTTTACTAAATAATTATGCTTGAGATTGCTAGCTGAAAATTGTCTACCAAAGGAAATGCGCTCTTTGATCAGCCCGCTGAAACAGCGATCTCAAATAATTTTTATGCGCCCCGAACGAAAGCTCACAATGCTTTTTTATGAAAATTTTTTGCCCCTTCTTTTGTCTTGCCACACGTTTATTGTGACGAAAATTTTGTGATTCAACCTTTATCAAGTGACCTGGACGCTTATTCTTTTTTATTTCCTGAAAACATTTTCAATAACCAGGAAAAAGCCAAATCTGTGGGTCTGTGGAATCTGTTCATTCCAATTGAAGCGGATCCGGAAGTTAGATATGGTGCCGGACTGACGAATGTTGAATACGCTTTCTTGTGCGAGGTGATGGGAAGATCAATATACGGACCCGAGGTTAGTCCGTTTTGAAATAGTGATCAATTTTAGTATCTGAGCAACTGTTCACCTACCCCTCCCCTAACCCAACAACAGTCAACTAACAACAAATTAGGGTTAGGGGAGGGGTACGTGTGCAGTTGCTCAGATACTGTCATTGATCCGAAATAGCTACTTCTGTTGATTGGTCATTCAAACCTTGTTATTTTGTTACAAATGCTGTAAAATTTTGTAAGCAAATCAGTTCTTTTCTGTTCAAACTGCCTTTCTTGTTTCTTTTTACGTGGTATGTATGGCTATCATCATTTCATTGTGGGATGTTTCACGCAAGATGTCATTCCAAAGGCCTGCTAAAATTGTTGTCAGGTGATCTGTTACACTAGAGAGGAGATGAAACCTTCGAAACTTACATCCTGTAAGAGTTTGGCGGTAGATTTTCAAAGTAAATTTGTATTTTTTTTCGCAAATATCGTCTTATCTTTCCTCGCGTCAACAGATGTTCAACTGTTCTGCTCCAGACACTGGCAACATGGAAGTTTTGATCAAATATGGCACAGAAGAACAGCGGGTATGTTATCACCCTCAAAGTCATGAAAATGGATTTGCCCCTTGAGTCTTTCAAAAAAAACCAGTGTAGGTTCCTAATGAAAATTATTTCTAAAACTGATTTCTACTTGATTATAATCAAGGTAGAAGGAAGGGGTAGAATTTGAATCTAAAGCTGTTCTTTTTTCGCTGTCGACTGACTATATCGTTGTGTCTCTTACACACAGGAAGGTTGGTTGCGTCCACTTTTAGATGGAAAAATAAGATCGTGCTTTGCTATGACAGAACCTAAGGTCAGTTGTCCAGTAACAGATAACAGTTTAAAAATACCCATTCTCCTTCATTTGGAAACTACTTTGATAGTTTTTGGGAGGTTGTTAATGTTATAAGAGTTCAAAAAGCTACTTGTTTGCGGTTTACACTCGTATTACTGAAGAGTTCATTATGGCATTGGAGATTCTTTAGATTTTCCTGGTTGTTGGCATTCATACCACTGAAGGCTTCAAAATGCAAATCTGAAGCTCAAGGCCATCTTCTGTCTTTTGTCTCAGTCCTTTAACTCTCAGAAGTTACCGGAATATATAACTTCTTGCAACATCACTATTTCTCAAGGAAACTGGATATGACGAGGGAAATGTAAACTGGAGAATGTAGTAAACCTGAGAATTCTCTTAGGAGATCGTCCATCGCCGTTTTTAAGGAGGTCGCCGCAGATCTTGGGGGTGAAATGATTGTATTTTGTTTTCTTCCGATATTCCCAAAGCAACTCGGTCCTAAGTGATACCCAGCATTGCTTTTAAAGTCTGCAGTATCACATGTTTCACATCAGATTTCCTAACATATCAGTTCCCTCAACATATGTGTATCATGCTTGTAGGTTGCCTCTTCGGACGCCACTAACATCGAGTCTTCAATCATATTAGATGGCGAGAATTACATCATCAATGGACACAAATGGTGGACATCAGGTTTGTCCCAATATTTGGATGATTCCTTTCCATTTCTCACAAGCCACGGCTGAGACCCCATTATATTATTGTAGTACAAGAGAACAATTTCCCCCTTGATTTTGATTTTGTTAGGTGATTATTTTCAAGTGCGACTTTGTCTTTTTATGCATTTTCAAACAGAAATGATTTCTTTGTCCTTTGCAATCATTTTCTCTTAGACAGTTTTCGACCGATCTCTTGTTCGTTTGTTGGTTCGTTCGGTCTTCATTTTCGATCGTTTTTTCGTTCGATCGTTGGTTCCTGCGCCCGCTCGTTTGATCGTTTGTTTGTTTGTCCTTTTGTTTATGTTCTGCTTAATTCTTTCTCTGTGCTCATGACAGGTGGTATGGATCCTCGATGTAAGATCTGTATTTTTATGGGAAAAACTGATCCTGATGCTCCAAAACACAAGCAACAGGTAATGCTCGCCAACACCATAACAAATGTCGTACTGGTAATCTCAAATTTCCAATTTCTTTCATAGCCAACCAGCATGATTGTAGCCTTACCTACCCCTTGTTTTCTCCACGGGGCTAGCTGCTTTGTTGCAGGTAGTTTCCAATCATTGGAGTAGTATTCCATCTAGAGGCTGGTTGCCCACGGTGGAAGACCCTGAATGCCCCAGGCACCCACCTTACATTTAAGCAAGGCAGCTGTTAACTGCAAGTTAGTTTGGATCAGATTATCGTTCTTGCTGTTTTTATTTCCAAAGGTGATTATAGAATCGATCATGATTTCTCCAGGTCCTTTACTTTGTCTTGGATCCCCACAGAAGGTTTCTTTGAAAGGAAGAGTCGATGATACATCGGAATTTTTTATTCTCTTATTATATTACAGGCAATGATTCTTGTTCCCATGGACACGCCCGGAGTCACGGTGGTGCGACCCTTATCCGTTCTGGGTTACCAAGACCCACCGTGTAAGTAAATTTTATTATTATTAAGGGATTTCTAAATCAACAAATCCAAACTCTTACTAGTCTCTTAAAACTAACTTCATCTCACAATTTCGATACTGACAGATAACAAATTCATAAGCTGTAAGGTGTTACCTTGACACAACACAAAATTCTCTTCACTAATTTACAAGGTAATATATAATGGAGAATTGCTAGTAAGTGAAGATTTTGGGTTTAAAACTAACTTGACTGATGCCACTGAATCAACTCCGTCACTCGGTCCTATCTTCCTAACTACTAAAAAAGTCTAGTCTAAATTTAGGGGTCACTTAGCTCCTTACACGCACAACAATATTTTCTCAAGGAAAGTCCTAATAATAGAAATAGGTAATAATATGATTTCGAGTGCAATTTGGCGTAAATATTTTGGTGTGCGCGCGGTATTTTTAATTTGCACTCGTGTTACAACTTTGCATCCATGTTGCATGAGAATGCACTCGTTTTCAGCCAACTAGAAGCGCGTAATTTTTTCATATACATTATTAATATGCTAACGATGCGTTTTGGTACGATAGGTGGTCATGCTGAAGTCATTTTCAAAGATGTTCGAGTACCAAAAGATAATCTCTTATTGGGACCTGGGAGAGGATTTGAGATTGCCCAGGTTAGTAATAAAATAAAAATCAGAATTTTCCGCCTCTGTCTCCCCTTCCTCTCAACTGAGCGGCTATTTTTTGCCTCTTACCCTTCCGCTCTCGTTCTTCCTTCGTCTTCACCGTATTTATATCTCTCTACCTCTCTTCTCTCATCTCTTTCACTATTAAACCATGTTTCACTTGCTTGATTGAGCTTTCTTATGTCAATCCCAGTGAAATATAAATGAACTCTTTGATAACGTGATGGACATTTCAGGGTCGCTTGGGCCCAGGTCGTATTCACCACTGTATGCGTCTGATAGGACAGGCCGAGAGATCCCTGGAGCTGATGATCGAGAGGGTAAGTAGTCGTTGTTTTCGGTAACTCGTTTTTGTACCAAATACTACCATAACATTGTTTCATACAATGATTTTTTTAAATTACGCATTCATGTAGGTCAAAAGAAGAGTGGCTTTTGGCAAACCTCTTGTAGAGCAAGGAACTATTTTGCAAGACATTGCTGAGTCTAGAATAGAAATCGAACAAGCCAGGTGGGTCAAACAAGACAGAGTGTACTGCTAACCCTGCGTTGTAGTGTCTCTATTTTCTCTATCAGTTCAGTGATCGGAAGTGATTAATTTAAGACCTGTCCGAATCCTCTGTACAAAGCTAGTGGATATCTTCTTGATTTTACTGCCGAGTTCTTTCATTCTATTAGCACCTTATGAATATCAGGAAAGGAACTTTAGAGTTCTATTTCTAAGGAATATTTGACTTGTGTGCATTTATTTAGAATGTCAAGACACTTCACTATTCAGTTTAAATTGATTTATCTTGTTTTGCAGACTTCTGACCCTAAAAGCTGCTCATCTAATGGATACAGTAGGAAATAAGGTAGAAATCCGTGTCACGCAGGAGTCCATAACATTCCTCCGGTCTGATCATTTTTATCGCTTTTTTTAGGCCGCTGCACCGGAGATCGCTATGATTAAAGTTGTCGCTCCGAGAATGGCTCAAAATGTCGTTGACAGAGCAATGCAGGTTTGTAAAACAACTTGTTGAAGCTTGTGCCGTAAATGTGCAAAGACCCAGTAACCATGAGGCATTGCGCTATATAAGTAGCGACATGATTCAAAATCATTGGCTGACTTAGGCTAGCAATATAACAGTCGAAATGTCGCGATCTTCAATTGATAGCGTGACTCTACAGTTGATATTGACTGTAAATTGTGAGATAAACGACCTAACGTTCATTTATGATCATATCATTTTCACAAATATCTCACAGGCATTTGGTGGTGCAGGTCTTTCTTCCGATCAGCCGCTGGCTCAGTTTTGGTCGTGGGCTCGTGTTCTCCGACTCGCGGACGGCCCTGACGAGGTGCATCTTGGGGCATTGGCCAAGCGAGAAGTAAAGAAAACCATGGGCAAGGACCAATAAATACAATAGTTGTCACGGTGGGGTAGGGGTTGGGATGAATTGTTACACATATGCTCTACTACTACCATAATAGTTAAGTCCCAAAATTTGAGTTTTCGCTGTATATGTTAAAGTTAACTTTGCATTCTTTGACACTAACTGGATCGAACAAAGCGAAATCGAGGAATCCAGAGGTTTTGATAAAAAATATTAACTCCAAATAATATAATCCATTATGATTAAGTTTCAATCCCACCGCTACTAATTTTTCAACTGCCTTCAAAATTCGACAATAATTTGCATAGTGTTCAATTTTTGCCTAGAGGATTGTGGGTCCTAGTGGTAAAGTTCAATGAAAACACGATATATCGATATATGCATCATTGACAATTGGAAAAAGCAAGTAAGACTTGAATGGGGCGATTTAATGCGATGCGTCGATCAATTCGAAGCTTCAAAATCGCCCCCTCTTCCCTGAGAAATCCTAACTTTCTACACATTGACGAAGCTTTGAAACCTAGATGTTGTAGACCTTTTCTTTTGGACCGTTCGTTCGCGAAAGACTTGACACTTTTTGTTCAAATTCCTCACCCCTTGTTCACTGCCCTGGGGGAGGATGTTGAAGCTTTAAATTTATTGGCACACAACCTTGTAATGTAGATGGTACTTTATTTCCGTAAGTAAGCTTCGTGAGAAGACACTTTTTTCCTTAATGGGAAATATTTTCTTCAGAAGAGGCTAAATTTTTTCAGGCAGAAGTGAATTAAACCTTTCTCTGTAGTCAGTCGTTACAGCGATTGAAAGCCTAGGAAATGGCAAATAGTGGAATTAACTATTTTTGCAGACAAACGATTAGCGCTTTGTAACTCAATGCTTCATGGTGAAAATAAAGTGTTAGATAGGTCGATTTTGGTCTTTGGTCAAATTTTCCCGGCCTCGCGTTAGATAGAAGCGATGGAAAAGAGAAATGTCTTTCCTACGAACACTACTTACTGTTGACAGCTAAGGATTATTTAAATCCATTCCCGTTTTTTTACTTAAAGCTTAGATTTCCTCTCTCGACAAACTCTTCTCTTAAACGTTTACCAAAGGCAAGCACTTATTGAATCTTCTCATTTAATCAAACAGGCGCGTCATACGCTTAGCATAATGGCGGCAACGTAACAACAAGCTTTCTTCCTTGCTGAGTCAACTTCGTCTCAGCAGTTGAAGTTTTGGTGTTTGTTTGCTGTACAGCTTGAATGGCAGCTATAACAGAATCTTCGTGCTCCTTTAAAGTCATTTTAATTCCTGCCACAGGCGATGGTTGCCTTAGCAACACGAGAGGCTGCTGAAAGAGTGCTTGAAAGAAAGCTGAATTATTCATATAGTATTTATCACGGTGTGGAACCCAACTGTCTCTAGACCTCGAATAAATCGGCGTCGATTTAAAACCCCTAAGGTGAAACACCGAAAAGACGCTGTTGGTTTTTATGTTTCCAGGTGATGTATCGTATTTATTCACTCTTGGCAGGTGAAATATCGGTTGCATTTCCTCATCACTGGATTTTAAAGAACTTATTTTGGACTGTATACTTTCAACAAAGATTTCGCACCTTGAATCATTTTGAGGACAAGGTGTATAAATTTCTTTGTTGTGAGGTGGACAGTGGGGCGGCTGTGTCTCTTGACCGTCCAATTCATCTTTTCCCCTCAAATTCACTCTCTGGCCTTCAAGTACAGTGGCCTGTAGCAAAGGCCGAACAAAGCTCTGGTAAAATCTTGGTAAACCATCACCATCACGATGGTTTACCTGATCAGATGAGGAAGTGTGTCTCGAAGTCTTGGAGTCTCCTGAACGGTGTGAACTGTTCCTTGACTTTCTAGCTCCTTGAAAAGGACAGTCATAATACCGTACCTGGAAAAGATCTTGACAATCTTTTGAATCTTCTTTATAAAATCTTCTAGGTTTTGTGATAGTGGGCAATATTGGGTTGGACTTGAGCTTTACTTTCGCTTCCGCCTTCGGTTCTTCTTTCTCTCCAGACGCTCGTTGATAAAATGAATTGAAAGTTTCATCGGCCGACTTTGTTTCTTTTTCTATCGTTGATTTAAACGGGTTTGTTCCTGTAACAGTCAAGCTTAGATTGCTGCGGACTCTTCGCGGCATCATGAGTTCGTTTCAGACCGGGGCGGAATTTCAGACGGTTTTATAAAATTTTGCCTCAATTTAACATAGGAGCGCAATTTGTCTTGAAAAGCATTATCTTGTCAAATTCACTGTCATCTATTCTATTAATCTTCTATGCTAATAATCTTTCAGATCAAGGGTAATTGCTTCGATGGCATAATCTCTGTGATTTTAAGATGATCCTAGCTCAATGTTTTTATTTAATTTATCTGGCAGTCCGTAAATAATTAGAAACTTGTGATTCGTTCGATAATTCCATCAGACAGATAATTCGACAGAAATGTCTAAAATTGAGCGTCGGTCTTTTAAGGGAATGTGCCGATCGCTGAGAGATTTTGATTGCGTGGTTGTGTTGTTGATTCATTGTGATTTAATCAAGGAGCAGTAGTAACTGTAATTGCACGTCCACTGACTCTCTTCGCGTGTGGTCGCTAAATACTACCTGCTTTCTGTACCAATTATGAGATTATGAGCTTGAGATTTCTATCGCGTGATAGTTTATAAAGGCGAAGTGCAAACTTACTATCACGCGATAGAAATCGAGAGCGAATGATTTTAGGGGCCAGACTATATTTATCGTCAGGGGGGGAGGGTGGAGCATTTTGGAGGATCACATGGTTTTCAGGGGGGAACAGAGGGAGGATCAGTCGTCGCCAACAGAGTATAAAAGGGGACTACAGAGAGATGACTGGCATCGAGGAATCGTGGGTAATCTCTTACTTGACATACAGCCAATCAGAATGCATCGTTTGTGATAGAACGCTAGTCGAAATATGTTGTAAAAGATTGTGCACGTTTTTAAGCTCTGATCAAAATCGACATCTCTCACGAGTAATTATACAAACTGGCTGAAACAGTGATTTAAGGCGACGGAAGTAGTTGTTAATAATGGCGCCAACATTTCTCAACTTTTATAGCTGAGTGATTTTATCAGTCTAAAAATAGTACTCTCCTAGACGGATTAATGGTCACTAATCTCATCGCTGACAGATTAATTTTGAAAGGTTCACTTAAGTTTCCGATAAAATGAGATGGACAGAGTTAAATTACAGTTTACTTATTATTTTATCCAACACTTCATCTAGAATAAAGAGATTCTTTCATAATATTTGCAAAGCCAATATGATAAAACCTACAGCGACCTTACTTTTTTTCACCTGAAATAAAACAAGTGAGTGATCGAGTCTCTTCTCTTTTGTAGAAAGCAAAAAATCATGATCTTTAATAAATTCCGAGCCCTCGATTGCCGAGAGGCAGAGAGACTGGGCTCAGGAAAGTGATCTTTGTTTCACTGAATTGAGCAAAAAGGTTTTAGCAGCGTCCTGAATTATCAAGACATTTTCAAACCATTTTAGAGCGAAACAGAGCAGAAAATTGTAACTCACACTACTGCATAATCCTTTGTTGACAACTGAACAGATTAATAGAAGATTAAAGGTTTTGATACCTACTGTGCGACATCTTCAGCCGCTCGTAATTTAACACGACTGGGAACTAGTTGGGCTCAGTCTTTCCTTGTGATGACGTTGCGAGAACCGTAAACTTTCCCTACCCACCGGGGAAAGGAAGAATGTGGACTTGAGGTTATGCTCTTGGGCGAGAGAAATTGGTAAGTTAGTTGGTCCAAGATTGCATTAAAATTAAGCAGCCTTCTCAACAACAACGACGTTGATAAATATATTTCTAAATAATATTTTTAGTTTTAAATTAATTGTGGACGTCACATGTTAGCCAAACGAAGAGACGAGACTGCGATACAAAACTATTTTTGGTACAAACTAACATACTTTTCAGCAAATTGGTGGTAATCTTACAACAAATTTCTTAACTTGTCGAGTCACTGCTGTGTCAACAGCTGAGGTTAGTGCGTTTGTTTTTTCAACAGCCTGGATCGCTTCTGTGAACGAATCCTCGTGTTCCTTTAAATGTATTTTCACCCCAGCCACTGGGGATGGTTCCCTTATAAACACTGCAGGTTGTTGTGCGAAAGCTTTAAACACCGAATGTTTAATTCTATAGTTGTCCCGGTTTGGACTCCAAGCATTGTTGAAGCTTGGGTAAAACAGCGATGATGATTTGACATCGTTTACTCTGAAAACAGAGCAAACTTGGTTGTCTATTAGACCTCGAGGGCTGATATCGTATTTATCTGCCTTCGGTAAGTGAAATACCGGTCTGTCACTCCGCTTTCCAGTGTTTACTGAAACTGTATCAGACGTATTTCTCCGTGTTAACATCGATTTCATTAAAAAGGTTTTAATATGATCAGGGTCTTTCGAAGAAGTGTCACTTTGATTTGGTAACTTGTTTCCTTTCTCTGCATGTGGAAGCTCACTATGTTTTCGGATTTGTTTCCGCTGTTTGTTTAACCCAGCCTTCTCTCTTAAGTTTACTCTTTGTCCCTCAAGAATTGAACAAGAGAGTGGTAGTTTGCTATCCAAGGATTTTTCCTTTAAACTCTGCCTTGCATTTCCTTCTTCGCTATTGTTTTCCCCATTTTCGTCAGAAACAATAGGTATACGTTTTTGCATGCCGGGAGAAACTTCGTGGTTTCGTAAACACGACGATGACAAATTTTCCCTATGTTTTCTACACAAATCTGAATTCAGTTGGTGAATTGTCAGATCAGAAAATTGTCTTCTTTTTAAAAGAACTTCAACTCTACTCTTTACACCGTTGTTGTATTTTGTAGCTTTTGTTAGAGTTGGTAATTTTAGGCAGTCTTCAGTTCTGATGTCTTTTAATACATCACGGCGCTCATCATTCTCAGATAACTTTTCTTCCTCTTCGTTTGAAACTTGTCCTTTAAAACTTTTGTCTTCATTTCTCGCTGCTTTACTGTTTCCAGAAGGACGTGCTTTTATGACTGATGAACTCAAGTTGACATCGCTTGCGGTTATTTGAGGCATGATGTCGATTGCGTTCGTTCCAGTCGGTTAGAGCTAGATTCAAGTTCTTCTTTCAGAAAATTCGACGCAAATTCACCAAAGCTTAGCTTAAGATAAAGCCACGTCTAACCTGCTTATTTTTAGCAACGCGTCCAGTAATTAAAATCCCATCTCGTTATCGGCATAGTTTCTACTCCATGACAATTGCTTCGTAAGTCTTTTAATCCGTAAATGAACTGCGAACATGCTCTTTGGCATCTCAAGGACTCATTAATGTTTGAAAGAATCTTTTGTTTGGTCTTTTTGTTTAGAAAGGGCGATAATTTTTGAGGAATATGTTAATAATCGATTGGGCATTGTTCAAAACCATTGTACTGTGTCCGTGCTGGCATGACTACCCTTAAAGTGAATGTTAAAACAAAAGCATTCGTAAGGATAAATACTTTTAGCGAGAAATGTCTTCATTATCTCTTAGGAGACCTTTGAAAGGTTAGTTTACAGTCTGTCCGTTTGCAGGTCGTGGCTGTACAATTCGTGTTGACACAGAAAATGTTTTCTTTTTTAAAACATGGTCTGTGTTGCTTTGATACTACGACTTCGTGTTTGCAAGAGATAATGTGACGTCATAATGTCATGAACTGTGAAATCCAAACTGATTTCACAAGTGATCTTATTTCATGCTTTCCTTCATGAGATCCTTTGGAAGTTTGTGATCCATCACAAAAATGCGACGACAAATAAATCCTTGAACAATCAACAGATCAGTGTCAGTATGTCAGAAGTGTACTTGTTAGAAGTGTACTTGTCCTAAACATATATATTTTTAAATATTTTCCTCGCTAATTGATGTCTTAGCATCTGCGCACCTACCCCTCCCCTATCGGTGATGGAAATTGACAAAACTGACAGTAACCCAACATTAACCCTAGTTTGTTATCAGTTGACTGTTGTTTGGGTTTTGACGGTCTGTTCAATTTCATACGCTGAAAAATATTTAGTGTTGAATGCTCATATTCTTTAGCCCATAAGAGAAACTTGTAACTTCAAAGAGGAAATTTAAAAGCCCCAAAGGTTTCGAACCTTTGCCGTGAAGAGGAAAACCTGCGAAAGTCGCGTGCTTTACTGTTACCATAACAGCACGAAAATCGCGGGAAATTGGAACCGAGTTCAATTTTTGGCGCCAAATTATTCGCACGTGACACAAACAAGATGGCGGACGAGATGGACGTGGAATCAGCGACAACCAGCTCGAAAAGTTTTAAAGACGAGGCAATGGAGATCGATGCACCACAAGTAGAGAAGACAAAAAGTAAAGGATCATCTGGTGCAGGAAGTAGTACTGGGAAAAGCTCTAAAAGTTTCGAACTGCCGTGGTAAGTTACCAAGAAAATGTAAAAGAACCTGGTACCCGAACGTCAGTATTCATACTCTACATGCTGTTCTCTGTATATTTACTGAGGTGCTGACAAGGAGAATTTGTCAATTCAATCCAATTCAATCAGTTTTATTTAAACTCACACGAATACAGTGTATTAGAGAAGGTTATAATTATTACGGTACGTAGTGTTACAAACATCAATATAAAGAATACAGTACAAAGCCAAAAAAAGAAGCAAAATAATCGAAATAATTTACAATTCATTGTTACTAAGGATATCTAAGAAATAAGGAGGACAGGAAGAAAAGAATGTTTAAATACTATGTTAATTGTGTGGAGTCTGGGACACCCAAATAGTTCTAAGAACTAATTGAGTGGGTGTTCCAAAGTTTGTCTAACAATTAAGAGTTTTTCAGTTGGGGATCATTTCCTTTACTCTCATGACCTTAATGTGTGATTCAGTGGTGATATTGTATGGAGAAATTAGATGCCAGTCACTCTTAGGGGTTAAGTTAAAGGTGCTCACTTGTTAAATTGTTTCCAGAGTAGGAACATGATGAAAAATTAAACTTTGATGTAAATGATCAAATCTGGGTGTTGATCAGACTAGTAATGGGATTTCCCAATTATGATGGATTCCAATTTCATAGTTTTTCCTTCATTTTCTTGGGTGTTTTTCTTGCAGATGTAAAGTATACAGGTTTTGTAGCTGTATGAATTGAAAACTATGATCTCATTCCAGTCAATGCCAGCTGCATAAATTATCATTTCTAGGGGAAAAATTGAGCCAAGTCATCCACAATATTGATATTTTCAAGAATTGTACAACTCTTTTGGACGAAAGATTACTTAAACCCCCACTGTGATACATTTCATATAATTTTAGTTTTGAGAATCTGGAGAGAATTTAGTTCTAAATTGGAGAATATTTCTTTTGACACATTAGACTTACTATAAAAAAAATCTGATCGGTTAAGAGCATTCAATCAATATACAGTAATGTGGGTAGTTGACATCTGCAGTGGATATTGCATATATCATGTCAAGTTCTAAGTCTGCCTAGTTTCCAAGCCCCTTGTCCATGTAATGTTCTTAAACTTAGGAAACTCAGAGAGAAGTGAAATCACTGATTTCAGTTTGTACATAATATCATGGACTAACAAACCTGCCTAGATCATACTGGAAAATCTAACCAAATAAAATATTTTTAGGGCTGATTAATGTTGGTATCCTTTTTAAAATATTCCTCTTTGTTAGGGTGGAAAAATACAGACCAACCAAACTTCATGAAATAGTTGGAAACGAAGAAACTGTTAGCCGCTTAGAGGTAATTTGTTTACACAACAAGTCTTTGATTAGAGTCCATTTTTGTTCAAATATATTTTATTTTATTTTTAACAAGAGATACAACACATCCATGGCAACATCACAGAACTAGATTTTTTGGCCAACAAACAGGTGCCTTTCCATTTCCAGCCTCATGATATTTATCAGACTAGAGCTACTGTATACTGTATTTTATCATCATATCTTTTAGTCAGTGTGAGTGCAATGATTGGTCAGTTTCACTGTGTGGCAGCAAAATTCAAAAGTCTGTAAGAATTGAAATTGTTCTCCTCTATTTGAATGCAGAGATATAATAAGTTTCTTGCTAACTTTGTTTCTCATTCCAAGTGGTAAGCTGTAGCACCCTTTTTTTCCACTTAGATTTATAACCACTGTGCTTTGTAACTTGCAGTAACCTACAGTAGGACCTCAAACGAGATTAGTTAGAGGTGTTAGATCTGATTAAGGCAACAAAATGCATCAGTATCATTGAAGTAGTAGTATGCTAGTCTTAGGAATTCAAAAGGTGGATAGCATGATCCAGAAAGTTATAAACCCTTCAACCCCCAAAAGTGATTAACATGTAGCTTCTCTATGTAATAATTATATTCATACTTTCTCTAGCAAACAGGTATTGAGAATACTCAATTTTTTTTATTTCTTAGGTTTTTGCTGAGCAAGGAAATGTTCCAAACATCATCATTGCAGTATGTAATTGGCTTTAAATAACAACTTATGCTACGGTCATATTTTTTCTTTCAACCTGACAGATAATTTTTGATGGCAAATAATGTTGATTGAAAGAAGGTAACTTTTTTTTGGTAGGTAATGTTCTCTACCATGTTGAGGTGACTTTGTTTTCTTTTCTCCAGGGTCCTCCTGGTACAGGAAAAACTACGAGTATTTTATGTCTGGCAAGGGCACTTCTGGGAGCTTCATTCAAAGATGCTGTGCTTGAACTGAACGCATCTAATGACAGGTATTAAAACCTTGATGTTGCTTGAGAATTTGGGAATCATATTCACCTATTTGTTGATTTGTTTTGCAGAACTTTTTAAATCTGTCTTCTACTCTGAAAGAGAAGGGTAACAAAGAGGAGATGGGATATGTTTTAAAGAGAATCTCAGGAAAAACAAAAGGGAAATCTTTAAATTTCAAAAAAATTAAGGAAAAAAATCATGTGTCAGTCATATTTTTAATTGCACCTTAATCTGGTTCATAAATTCTTTACAAATCACATTGATTGTTAGGCCTGAACCATGCATCACTTATAGACCCTTTGCCAACCTCAAAGAGTAGTGCAGACATGTCAAAGTACCTCTAATGTTTGTTGTAAAGGCTTGCTACGTGAAGGTTACAAAGCAAATATACTGTTCAGGTTCTCCATCCCATCTGCCCTGTGTGTGCATGTGTATGTATCAAATCTATAATTTGATATTAGTCGCCCACAATCCAATTTCATTCAACCTTTCAGATATACTTTGCAAGTTAAGTGTGTAGACTTTGGACTGTCACCTACTGTTAGTGATAGAAGCAGTTGCAAACAAGCTAAAATCATGTTAATCTCTTTTCATTGCAGAGGAATTGATGTCGTGCGTAACAAGATTAAGATGTTTGCTCAGCAGAAAGTTACTTTACCTAAAGGCAGGCACAAAATTATAATTTTGGATGAAGCAGACAGGTATGTCTATTGCAGGCCATTGGAGTATTTTATCCTTTTTATAAGCTCTTCCTTGAAAACCAGAATCAAATCTGAATTCTTACATCCTGTAATAACAATTTTGAGATTAACTATTCCAGCATTTCCCAGTTGTCAATGTCTCTCACTGTCTGTCCTGTTATTAACAGTGAGTAGCAAAATAGTGAACAGGTATATTTGTTGCTAGAGTGGTAAGAGCCTCTTTTGCATTTTCAAAGTGACTGTGAAGAAGATATGAAAAATCATGTTTATTAGTTTTGAATACATCGTAGATTTACATGAAAATATTTATATTATTTACTCTCACAATCATGATATTTAAATTTCAAGCTCATGACATAATATGCATTAGGGTGAATTGATTTTGCCAAAAATGACTATCTTGCAAAGAGACAGAGCTTTAAAAAGATAGTTGTAAAAACTAAATTAACAAACAGGTAATCCCTCAACTTCCACTGCAGCTACCCTCCTTGTAACAATTATTACCAGTGGATTCAGCTGGAGAACACAAAATAACCTGAGCACCTGATGGTGGTTCAACAACAACAGACAAATTTTAATTCCTGAAAACAAGGCTAACATGTTACAACTTACAACACTATCAATATTGACCAATATTGTCACACTCCTGACCAAAAGTCCTCTGGCATAGTGGATATAGCATTGGAAGATAACACATTCCTTGGGGTATAAGCTTGTTTTGCTTTTTCTCTGTAGCATGACTGATGGTGCACAGCAGGCTCTGAGAAGGACAATGGAGATCTACTCCAAAACTACACGCTTTGCTCTGGCTTGCAACACTTCTGAGAAAATTATTG